TTGTATTTGATATAGCGCTTTTCATGTCTTCTAGACGTCTCAAAGCTCTTCACAGAATATGCTGTAAAGTGAATTGACCACATATTTGTGGGCGAAACGCGGCAGCCAATTGCGCACAACAGTGTCCCACAAACAGTCGTGGATTGAAAATGACCAATTTATTATTGTTTTAATAATTGCTTCCCGTATCAAAAAGGTCATCAGATAGCACTGTTTCAATTCTATAATTCGGCTCTCTATCAAATGCAAGGATTATTATTGTGTATGCGTTGCCTTCTTCCACGTTTGAAGAGTAGAAACTTTAAATTGACAATAGAAATGTCACATGCAGATTTGCAGGCAAAAACAGCCATGTTACTGCAGGTACTAAAGCACTTCGCAGGATTCATTGTAAAGTATAGTAACTATTTAAGAAGATCTTAATATTTTAATCCCAATTCCCTGTCTATTCTTCATATCTCTTTAAGTACCCTTGATTTTAAAGTACTGTGCCTCCGTATCTATCTACCTTTAAGCAACTCAATCGAATCAGATTTTCCCACCTTCCAAGGCAGCATGTTCCAGATTTTTACATAAAGAAAAAAATTCAGATTTCACTTTTAACCAGTTTAGTTCTACGTTGTGGCTTTTCTTATGCCTGTAAAGTTTATGTGCTTGTTAAAATCATTAGCCGGTGCCGAAGCTCAGTAGAACTGGCCCATGTTGTGTTATAAATATAATGAGTAGCCCTTTCAATACATGTATGAAGCATTTAAAATTGTTTTTGATCCTTATGGTGCCATCAAGTCTGACTACAACAACAAAATTACATTTGTATAGTGCCTTTCAGGTCGGGAGGACATCCCAAGATAGACAAAAGTTTCGGACCCAAGCTGGGGGTCGGGGAGGGTGGAGGGTAGGGCGGGGAAGCAGGCAGATCGAAAGCACGGTCGAAGAGGAGGATCTTAAGATGGGTCTTCAAGGTGGCAAGGAAGGGGGCGAGGTGGAGGGACTGCAGGATGGAGTTCCAGATGGTGGGGGCAGAGTGGCAGAAGGTCTGCCCGCCAATAGTGGGCCGAGCAAGGCGGGGGACGTGAAGCAGGCCGGAGCCCTCTGAGCAGAGGGTGCAAGCAGGATGGTATGGGTTAGGAGGTTGCAGAGGTAGGGGGGAGCAAGACCATCGAGGGCTTTGAACTGTATCCTCTGTATGATGGGAGGCCAGTGGAGTTGGGCATGGATGGGGGTGATAGGGTCGCGGAGCCTAGTGTGGGAGAGGACATGGGCTGCAGAGTTCTGGATGATTTGCAGCCTATGGAGGGAGGAGTTGGGGAGGCCGGCAAGCAATGAGTTTGCATAGCCGAGCCTCGATGTAATGAAAGTGTGTATGAGGATTTCAGCGGCCTGCCTTGTGAGTCAGTGTGGGAGCCGGGCGATGTTGCGGAGGTGGGAAAGGTAGGGCGGTTCATGGCGCAGATGTGGGATAGAAAGGATAGTTAAGGGTCAAACAAGATGCCAAGGTTCCGGACTGGCTTAGCAAGGTGGAATGTGCAACCATAGATGGTGGTGCTATCAGCGCCTGAGATAAGGAGGCGCTGACATTCTGTCAGGACAGCAGTGGTCCTGGAGTCAAGGGTGGAGGCAGAGAGGTAGAGTTGGGTGTCCAATTACATGTGGAAGTTGATCCCATGTCTGTGGATGATGTCACCAAGAGGAGCATATAGATATTGAAGAGGAGGGAACCAAGGACAGAGCTCTGAGGAATGCTGCACGAGATGGTGCGGGGGCTAGAGAAGAAGCCGTTTGTGGAGATGAAGTTGAGGAGGTGTGAGAGGTACGATCTGAACCAGTCAAGGACAGAGCCATGAAGTTTGAGGTGAGAGGAGAGGCGGTGGGTGGATGAGGATAGAGTGGTCGACGGTGTCAAAGGCAGCAGAGAGGTCAAGGAGGACGAGGAGGCAGACGGAGCCCTGTTCGCAGATGGACAGAATGTCATTCGTCACTTTGAACAGGGCTGTTTCTGTGCTGTGGGCGGCACGGAAACACGATTGGAGGGGTTCAAGAAGGGAGTGGCAGGAGAGGAAGGAGCGAGGCTGAGAAGCAACAACTTGTTCCAGTACCTTGGAAAGGGAAGTTGGAGATGGGGCAGTAGTTTGGAAGTAGAGATGGGTCCAGGGAGGGTTTTTTAAGAATAGAAGTGATGACAACAACAAGATTACATTTGTATAGCGCCTTTCACATCCCAAGGCGCTGGACATTGTACAGCATTTCAGACACGAGCTGGGGTCAGGGGGGGAGAAGGGAAGGGAGGGGAAGGGGGCTGGACAATGGCATGGTCGAAGAGGAGGGTCTTGAGGCGGGACTTGAAGGAGGCTAAGGAGGGGGTGAGGCGGAGTGATTGGGGGATGGAATTCCAGAAGTTGGGGGCAGAGTGGCTGAAGGCTCTCCCGTCAATGGTGGAGCGGGGGACGTGGAGCAGGCCGGAGCTGGGTGAGCGGAGGGAGCGGGTGGGTTGGTAGGGGGTTAGGAGGTAACAGAAGTAGGGTGGGGTGAGGCCATGGAGGGCTTTGTAGGAGAGGACCAGGATCTTGAGCTGGATCCTCTGAAGGATGGAGAACCAATGGAGTCGGGCGAGAACGGGGGAGATGGGGTCATGGAGCTTGGTGCGAGAGAGGACACAGGTAAGTTTTTAATGGGTTTTTTAACAGAACCAGAGGACAGGGAGAAGTTTATGATGTCAGTGAGTAGAGGGGCAAGGAGGTGGAGCTGGGAGGTAAGGAGAGGGGTAGGGATAGGGTCGAGGGAGCATTTGGTCGGTTTCATGCAGGTTATGGTGGTGATGAGAGAGGAGTGGGATACAGATTCAAAGCTGTGGAGGGAGTGATGGGTAGATGCCGGGGTAGGAGGGGAAGATGGGGAGGGGTAGCAGATGCAGCGGCAGCTGAGCAGATTCCCTCGACTTTGGATTCAAGGAAGTCCAGCATTGCCTCGCAGTTGGCATTTGAGGTGAGGATGGTTGAGGCGTGAGAGGGTGGGCGGAGGAGCCAGTTTGTGATGAAGAAGAGGAGCCTGGGGTTGTCCTTAGCCTCCAAGATTGTCTTGGAGTAGAACGACAATTTAGTGGGGGCGATGGCGGAGGAGTATGATTTGATCTGCCGGTGGACTGTTGTTTGATTTAAGCCAGGTGCGCTCAACAACAACAATTTGGATTTATATGGCACCCTCCACACCGGACAGCATCTCAGAGCGCTTCACACACCTATGCTTTAAGGGAGCGGAGGTGGTTGGTGTACCATGGTGACTTAGGTGAATAGGAGACAGTTTGGGAAGAGAGGGGAGCAAGGGAATTGAGAGTGGATGAGAGGGAGCTGTGGAGAAGAGTGACTGAGGAGGATAGCTCATTGCAGGAGGAAGCCCAGAGGGGAAGGAGTTCAGATGACTCCAAGGCAGCTGAGAGGGAAGGTGGGGGGGGAAGGGAAGATTTTTTTCCAGGGGTGGTAGGAGATGGAGGTGGGTTGGCTGACAGTGCAGAGAGGGTTTGAGGAGTTAAGAGAGGTGAATTGATGGACTGAGATCGCTCTGTCAATGATGGTGAGGTCCGAGACGTTGAGGCCCCGAGTGATCACCGGGTCGAGGGGGTGACCGCGGACGTGGGTGGCAGAGTGGATGTGGAGGGAGAGATTGAGGGAGGAGATAAGGGAGGAAAAGTCAGCAGAGGTAGAGCAGGAGGGGGTGAAGTGAAGGTTGAAGGTCTAGCGTCGATTGTAACAATTTGGTGGGGTAACTGACTATCTATAATAAGGTTCACCGTTTCCCTATTGGGTTACTTTAAGGATGATTTTGATTGGACTATAAAAAAGGCACCAATTACATCAAGTAACTGGTGCAATACAATTACCTAATTCGGGGAGGGCCTCAATGCCCATAAAAGAACGAGTGCCATGTTCTCAGGGTCGTTATTTTTACTTGATGACATCAAAAGGTGACTGTTGATGAGGAATAGTCCTTTAGGTCAGGGATTGGGTTTTTGTGCACTTTACATTAACTTCATTACAAGTGGCTGTTTGTGTGTTCAGTTTAAGTGTGATTAGTGTTTTTATTTCATAGTTGCATTTGTTGATATTTATCTTATCGTTTAAGATTTAATAGCGAGGGCTGTAGATTTCATCGTAACTACAATAAAATTCCGTTGAGTTTTCTTGACTGTGCTTTCTCAAGCTTTCTGTATAAATCAAAGAGGGTTGAGCCTACGTCACAGTCTATTTAGAATAAAATAATTCATTAATCGAGTTTCACCTAAATATAGGGATTTGCATTAATTTAGTGAGGATTCAACAGAGGCTACCCAGTACAATCTGCGAGGGGGAGCGAGCCATATCGTGGGTGTACCTATAGAGGTATAGAACTGTTTCAAGTTGGCGGCAATACCAATACGGTAGAGGACTATGTCCCAGGACTCGTTTTGTTATTCATGTCATATAATTCTTAAAAACAATCAACTTAGCTTCAATCACCACTACGGCAACACATCGCACATCCCAATAAGGTGTGTCAAAATAATTAAAAATTATAGATTTCACCCCTTCCCTCAGGCTGAATATGCTGTCAGTCAAAAATGGTGACTGGGGTGAGATACTGGAGGGGAAATCAATACCTCTCCAACTGCACCCCAGCACAACTCAAGTAGTCAAAGAAACTCCACCTGTATAACAGTACAATAAAAATTAAACGATTCAACTCTTGAACTAATCAACTATGAAGGATTTGTTTTGTCCTTCACAGGGTGAATGTAGCCAAATGAACAGATTGGAAGAGGGCAATTGCCTGTTACACTGTTAGATCTAAATTCCATGCTTTTTTCCAGTAACAAAATTGCTGTTTTGCTACTCTATTATCTAATATTGTATATTTGTCATTCACTTCACTGTGCGCATATTAACTGTTGCTTTTGCTTACAGATATCACTACAAATTACAGTATATCCTTTGAAGCGCTTTGAAACATTTTTACGACATGAAAGGCACTTTTTCAAATGCAAGGAATTTTAATATTTCTACATAATTGTAACCTGCAGGTAGATTGTACCTAACCCATCAGATCAATGTTTCAGTAGAGATACAACAAGACACATCTGGTTACCTGCAGAATGAGCAACTTACAAATCCTTCTGCAAATCTCACAGACTCCAATCTTACCCTTTACAGGCTTTAGTACAAAAAACTAGCAGACACACCATTTTAAATGCACTCAAATTTGGATTTTAATACAATATTTATACCTTTTTGTAATGAAAATAGAAATGGCAAATTCAGTGCCAAATATGTTGTTTGCAAAGTGTAAAAAGTGTACATTCAAATCTATGTAGCAGACCCAGTGTAAGAATTATTACAATTCATAGAAGTGGAAAATACAGCAATAAAATGTCATAAAAAGGTACATTGCTTCAAATATAATCTTTTAGGAACAGGACGATTTCCCTCCATTTAATTCATCTTCAACATATATACAAGTTTGAGTGTATAGTGTAAACTACCCAGTACTTCTCTGTATAAATATTATGCACAGTGAAAATATATCCTTCACAACACTCGGAATATTCTATCTGCATCTCAACATTGCCTCAGTCATCTTGAAATCTATTTTAACTTCAGGTATCAAAGGTGCATACTATATTTCATTCCCTGCAATGTGCTGGGTGAAATGGAAAATGTTAATATTCATCAATACTGACTGCCATTTGAAAACAATTCAGTATGTAACCTGGAGTCTCTCTTCTAAAACCCACTGCTGTCCAGGAAATCTAGTTGTAAAATTAAATCACCCCAAGCTGCTGGAGAACCTTTTTTTCTGCTCGCCTGTCTAGGATTCTCTGTCGGAACACAACAATGATACTAAACACTATCCCCACTAAAAACATAACTCCTTCGAACTTCCAAAACTTCAGTTCCTCCATTTCAACTGAATGACAGCTGGTAAGAGAAAAAAAACAAGAGTTATCTATCGTCAAAAAAAATCAACATTAAAAATGCTTCTCTGGGAAAAAGGTAATTTCCTACTACATTCAACCACATAAGGTGAAACAAAAATCAAAAAGCTGGGTTAGTTTGACGATTCATGTAATGGCAGGCCGTGATGCAAGGTTTCAAAGATGCATTCAATATTTTAGAAGAACACAGAAGATAAACAATACAGTTGAGTGAAACACATTTTTGTACTTCAGTGATGAAAGTGATCATAGAAGGAAGTCTATTTGAGGGATCCTCAAGAGTGAAATTTAGAATTAGCATTTGTCGGTTTAGCACCTTATGTAGGCTATTTATATCAGATGCTTTTATGAATGACGAAGATAGTCATATAAAGCAAAAATGCACCTTAGGCAAAGACCCAAATATTTGCGTTATTATTAATAATTATTTTATTACATGACTGTAACAAAGCTAGATAACCTAATTTCTATTTACTGTACTTGCATTGCTGATATCAGCAATCATTGGATTTATACAAATTCCTTTCATGATTCTAACAAACAGAATTTTAAGAATGAAGTTTACAACTAGTATAAGCAAACATACTAAAGTCACATATATTGACAGAAACCTGAAATTCCAGCAATACCAATAAAATTGTATATTTCAGTATGTTAGAATGAGATTCTGGCTCTAGCTTTATGTTTGGAGCACTCTGCAATTCTTGACATAAATACAAGGATGAGGATGATGGGTTGTTCATCTGAGCTGTAGGATGACAGGGACATATTTGAACACTCTGAACTCTCCATAGCTAGCAAGATCAAATCTATAGCCAGCAAGATCAAAAGCATAGCCCCAGGGTTAAATTATACCAAATCTTCCAAGTTGACACCACTATATTGGAAGCAAGACAGACAGGATAGGAATTGGAAAATTTGCATTTAGGTCTAATTATTAGCCAACAAGTTAACATACTGACATTTTCTTCTTCTTTATCTCTCTCCCATGAAACAAATTCATATCCACAAATATGTCCACTTAGGTTGTTAGCAATAAACTCAAACAGCTAAACAATTTGCAATTTTAAAAAAAAGTGCCAGTAAATGCAAAGAATACATTCCAAGCAGAAAATACAAACTGAACTGAAAGAACCAGGATGGTGCCTCACCTCCTGTATCTTTGGTCAGATACACACTTTATTTCTTCCACAAATCCAGTTAAAGTACATTCAATATGCATTGTCTGCAGAAAGATAAAACACAAATTAAGGATTAATATGTCAACTTTCACTGTCTAAACTTGCACATGATAATATAATAGGCTTGGAATTCAAGGAACTATACCCCAGCATAAATTATAAATCAGGAGAGAAGTAGGAGAAAAAAAAGAGAATCATCTTATGTGAAAAAAATGCTCATCTTCCACTGGTGGCCTTTTTCTTGGTACAGTGTCAGTTTGGCTCAGGAAATATAACCTTGCCTCTTCTACTGAAGATAATGATTAATGCAATAATTTGCAATAATCCTTGCATTTGATAATAACATGCTGGGGTACAATTCCAAAGTGCAAATAGTTATTTTGTTACCATGTCCAAATGGTTATTCTTTACTAATTAGAATTTCCTAACTAATTAACAGTTGGAAAGCGCAAACTTCAAATTCACTCAAATATGTTTTATTGGGAATTGTGGTACAAAATCTATTTTTTCAGCAGTGGCCAGCTGTCAAAAATAACTGCAAACTCAAACCTATTCCTCCAGGTCTGGTCATTATACTGAAATTGTTTTACTGCCAATAAATTTACATTATCTGTGTTACTAATGTCACCCTCTGGCCAGTAAATGAATTGCAATGATAACATATTAATTCTGTGATGCGCTGTTAAGTATTGGAAATGTTGCAATATTATAGAACTTACCACAGCAAACAGCAGGTAACATGTCCATTAGATAATATTAGTTCACTGAATTAATTATAAATATCTTCTTTATAGAATATATTGTGGGTGTTGTGAAGCTGGGTTTAAAGAACAACAACAAATTGCATTCATAGAATGCCTTTCATGTCCCAAGGCACTGACATTTAAAGCAATTCAATATATATTTCTATTTTTATTCTTTTATTAATTTATTATACATTAAATTTCTAATGGTGCAATTAGTCATGAAAACATGCCTACTTCCATTTTATTTATAAGCCCAAATATTATCGATGGCCACAACTATCATACAAAGTGCCAATCAATACAACAAAATTGAGGATACATTAAGAATCAGCTTGGCTCATTAGACATTCCCTTAACACCGGGTCAGAATCCAACCAATAGCATCCCAACCAAGGACCAATTTGGAAATGCTCAACAATAACTCTCCACTGAGATCTTCAGATTGTAAGGCATAGGTTAAGAAGTACACAATAAATATGAAACTTCATGTGAAGAAAGCTGGCGAGACTTGCATTGTGCTGCTTGTCTGCACCTCTTAACAAGTTGTTATAAAGCAGTAGCTTCTACCCATCAGTGTTAAAACTCACAAATACCAAATACAGGACCAAAGAAAATAACATTATTGTGAACATGCTTTCACAACTTAACGGCTAATTTAGTCCTAAAATAAATTCTGCAATAATACACTGTAGAAATGTTGTTATTCGTACAGTACCTTCTCATGATCAGAGCATTCAGTGCACTCTCTTATGATGCTATACTCATCTGTTTCCCAGCAAGGTCTTGGGCAAAGAACTTGCTGTTTAGTTAAGAAAAACAAAAACAAAACTGTAACATTTTTTTCCATGAACTAAAATGTGTCAAATGTTATTTGCAGCAGTATTTTGTAACCATGACATGCTAATGTTGAAAATAAAAAAAATTCAACAACAACTATGATTCTGCATTTCAACATCCTCTGTTTCTACGCATTTTCTGGTTTGAAAAGCATGGTTTTATATCTGACCATTCAGAGTACTTACAAGTGTTTATTTGTGATTGCGGTGGTGCTGCTTCACATAACCTAAAATGATACATACAGAAAGTTCAACTAAATATAAACACTTAGGCAAGCCGACCATTTATTTGTTTTTCTTAAGTTTTATGGAACTTGTTTTTAACTTATAAAATTGCATAACTATTATAAATTCCCGGGTGGGCAAAACCGTAGGCAAATTTCCTTATTCCACACACCTGTTTTATCTATCAAAAATTGCCTCAAAATTTGAAAACATTCACTTGGCTGCATTGTCGGCCCCCACGATGTCCCCTTCCACCCTACCCAGACTATCCACACTGCCTTCTCTCTCCGCCACTGCTCCAGCTATTCCCCCCTCCTTACATTTTTTTGCCCCCATTTCTCTCTCCTTCCTCTCAACCACAATCACCCGGATGAAGTTCACCACTGCCACCTGACCCCCTCCCCATCCAGCTGCAGGTCACTGAACTTCCCCATCTCTCCCCACTGCTGGCCAACACGGTCAACCAGTCTCTCTCCTCAGGCTGTGTTCTACAGCCCCTGAAAACCACTGTTATCACACCCCTTCTCAAAAAAACCACCCTCAATCCCTCTAATCTCTCACACTACTGTCCCATTTCCAGCCTACCCTTCCTTGCCAAAGTCCAGGAAGGCATTGTTGCAGGTCAACTTCGATCAAACCTCTCCCTCCTCGAGCTCCTGCAGTCTGGTTTTTACCCACATCATAGAGACAGCGCTTGTCAAAGTCACAAACGAAGTCCTCTCTATCTGTGACCAGGGCTCCCTCTGCCTCCTCGTCCTCCTGGATCTCTCTGCCACGTTTGACACAGTCGACCACGGCAGACCACGGAGGACCATAGGCTCTCCTCCCTCATCTACCTTAGTGGGAACGCACTTGCATGGTTCGAGTCCTACTTAACCAACCGCCCCTTCTTCTACTAATCTATATGCTCCTTCTGGGTGATGTCATCCGCAGACATGAGGTAAACATGTAGACGGATGACACACAATTCTACTTTGCCTCTTCCAGATCAACTCCAGGTCCGCCGATGTTCTATCAGCTTGTCTGGTAGACATCATGGCCTGGATGAGTGTAAACTTCCTGCAGCTGAATATGGACAAGACGGAAGCCATACTCCTTGGCTCCCGTCAATGTCTTCACTTCTGTGGATCTAAACTCCTCAACCTCCCTGGGCTCTCCCTCAGAATCATCGAACCAGTACGCAACCTAGGCATTCGGTTCCACCCCCAACTGTCCTTCGTCCTCCACATCTGGTCCCTGACTAGGACCGCTATCTTCCACCTCCGTCACATTGCCCAACTCCGACCATACCTTACCCCAAATACAGCCAAAACCCTCGGCAATGCATTTGTCACCTCCCGCCTGGATTACTCAAATGTACTCCTCGCCGGTCTCCCCAGCTCCACCAATCACAAGATCCAGCTCATTCAAAACTCTGCTGCCCGCATACTACCCGGACCAAACTCCGTACCCACATCTCACCAGTTCTGGCCAGGCTCCACTGGCTCCCCATCCCCGAACGGATTGACTTCAAGATTCTCACGCTCGTGTTCAAATCCATTCACTCACTGGCACCTCCCTACCTTTCCGACCTTCTCACTCCCCAATCCACCTCCCAGCACCTCCGCTCGACTTGCACCGGCCTCCTGCGCGTCCTTTGCACTCTCCGCCCCACCATTAGAGGTCGTGCTTTCAGTCGCTAATCCCCCAACCTCTGGAACACTCTCCCTCAATCCCTCCACCTTGCCCCCCCCCCTCTCCCCATCTGAAAACTTTCCTGTTCGACCATGCTTATAGCCTCCTCCCCTCTCCCCAGAGTTAGGCTCCGCCACTTTTAAGCACTCTGTGTGACGCTACCCTGCATGGAGGGTGCTATATAAGTGCAAGTTGTTGTTGTTTTATCAGTAAGTAGGAACCCAGTTGTTAGTCGATTGCTTTCCAGGGGGATTAATAATTTATTCCAACAAATAAATAAATAATTTGAATACTCAGTCAACATCTGTTTGTGCGACACTGCTGTGCGCAACTGGCTTCAGCATTTCGCCCAGAAAATATACAGTCAATTCACTTTACAGTATATTCTGTGAAGCACTTTGAGAATTCTCAATAATGTGATACAGCGTTACATCAAATGGAAAGATAATTATTATTATTAAATGCTTTTTTAAAAAAAATTGGGAGTACCCAGAATGGTGCATTGTATTAAACGATTTAATATGCTACCTATATTAGCTGTAGATAGGAGGAAGGTGGCACAGACCAGCTCGCCTGGCTCATCAGCAGAATTTGCAAGAGCACACAATTCTTCCCATTTGGCTTATGTTAACCCTGCAAGTCAACAGGTAGCGTGGTCCTAGTTGGACAAGCAGCAGAAAGCTTGCCAAACAATGCAATAATAATAATCCTTGCATTTGATATAGCACTTTATCATGTGCTATATCAAATGTTGTCGAGACATCTCAATAATGCTTATTTTACCTGAGTAATGTGAACATGCTCCAAAAAGTGGATAGATATGCCAATACGGACACAAACTCCAACTTCTGCCACATTTTCTCTTTTTTTGCTTCCCCAACGTGGCCTCTCAGAGATACTGCAATAAAAAGATGAATTTTTAGCAACCTCATTGGTTGAAAAAGTCAAATGTTTTTGATGTATTTGGTTAATAAAATCATCAAAAACGTTAGAAAGCTTCTTCTAGCGATACCTAGGAGTGAACTATAAAGCCGAAGCCTAAATCAGATGTTTCATATTGTCAAAGGAGCGATATCGAATGTAAGTATTATAATATTTTATCATATGGCCTTATTGTGCCATTGAGACGTTCAAAGCACTTCACAGAATATATTACCTCACGCAAGTCCTTACTCCACACACAAGCCTCTGTTTACCGAGCAGTAAGTAGGATCCCGGTTGTTTGTTGATTAGTGGATCAGTTTTCCGAGGGTAATAATCCCTTCGAAAAAATAATTTGGTCGCTCAATCCACGACTATTTATGGGCCACTGCTGTGTGCAATTGGTTGCCACGTTTTTCCCACAAAATACGATCACTCCACTTTACGGTACAGTCTATGAAGGCGGTTTGAGATGTTTCAAAGACGTGATAAGACCCTATATCAAATGCAAGAATTATTATAAACCAGAAGTAAATTACCGAAACCTTAAACTTAGATTGCATTAACCCTACATCTGACACCAATTACGGATTGTCTACCTCGTTCATTGCATCCTACGCTGTCATATGTGTCTCTCTGACTCTGACTTGGCCAGGCTCTGTGTCTCTGTCTGTCTCTCTAAGTCTCCTGTTGTCCTAGGCTGTGTCTGACTGAATCATGCTCTGTCCTAGGCTCTGTGTCTATGTCGCTCCGTCCGTCTGTCTGTCTGTTTCTCTCTCTGTCTCTCTGTTTCTCTCTCTGTGTCTGTCTGTTTCTCTCTCTGTCTGTCTCTCTCTCTCTCTGTTTCTCTCTCTCTCTGTCTCTCTCTCTCTCTCTGTCCTAGGCCCTGTGTCAGAGTCACTGTGTGTGTGTGTCTATCTATACAAGGGGACATGTACCTGTGACTGTGTGTCTCTATTGTCTGGTGTGTGTATGTGGGTATCTTTGTGTGTGTTATTGTCTGTGTATTATGTCTCTCTGATCTCTTTCCTGTCTGTGTCTCTCTCAGGTTCGAATCACCCCGGACAACGCGACCGGATCTCTGACGTCACTCACCGGAAGCGCTCCGAGGGCGGGGCGGATGCCGGCTGATGGACATCCCGCCGGACCAACCGCGTGGCTCTGAACGCCCCCCCCCCCCCCGTGAGCCAGTGACGTGGAGGCGAGCCCGGCGTGGCCAGGGGCGTGGCTAAGATGCTGAGTTGCGCGGCAGACAATGGAGCGGGTGTGGCCCCGCCCCCCCACAGGGGCTGTCAGTCACTCAGCGCTGGCTGGGCACGCGCTGCTCACGTGGGAGCTGCAATGCTCTCTACAGGGCAATGCTGGGCTTTGAGCTGCTTATTAATAATAGTGATAATTATCCTTGCATTTGATATAGAGCTTTATCACGACTTGGGGACGTCTCAAATCGCTTCACAGATTATAATAATAATCCTTGCATTTGATATAGCGCTTTTCACGTCGGGAGGACGTCCCAAAGCGCTTCACAGAATACTGTAAAGTGAATTGACTGTATATTTGTGGGCGAACGCGGCAGCCAATTGTGCACAGCAATGTCTCACAAGCAGTCGTGGATTGAAAATGACCAATTTATTATTGTTTTGTTTTTTTGGAGGGATTATTATTAGGTGTGTGGAGTAAGGAAATTTGCCCAAGGTTTCGCCCTGCCTGGAATTGAACTCAGGTCTCTCGCTTCCAAAGCGAGTGCTCTAACCACTGAGCTACAGGACTGCAACGCAGAGCGCTTGACAGTGGCGGAGCAAGACAGGACCTCCAACAATGCAGCACACTCCCACCACCTCATTGGAGTGTCAGTTTAACGATATAGACAATAGAGTCGACATGGACCCAGTGGGAATTTTTACCCACATCGGTTTACTTTCAGTACTGGCATTTTTGGGAAGAACTCAATCTTTGAACTTTGGACTGAAGAAAAAATGTTTGTTTGTGGTAGAGGTTCTAGAGATGGACAAAAAAATAGTTCTTGTGATCTTTCAGTAAAATCAATAAACGCTTACATCACGTACAAAACATGAGATAAATAGAATGATCGGGAGCAGCAGCACTGAATAAAATGACAACTCGGTTTATCACACTGTGGAGGTAAGAGCTTTGCTGCCACCGATCGTAAGGATCAAACAAGCAGCAAGTGGCACTGCAAATATGTAAACAATATTGATATCTAAATGTTTTACATTTATTATTCATAAAATATCAATAATATCAATAATTTTGCCCACAAATATACAGTCAATTCACATTACAGTCTATTCTGTGAAGGGCTCTGAGACTAGAAGACGTGAAAAGTGCTAAATCAAATGCAAGGATTATTATTATTAATGTAAATAATAACTTACGTTTTGCTTTATACTGTGATTGCTTTCTCTTTTACCATGTTCTGATTTTTTATTTTTGGGTGTTCCTATAAACATTCACAAGCAGGACAATAATAATCCTTGCGTCTTATCACAATACAATACAAATTACATTTTCATGTTGTTGAGACGTCTCAAAGCGCTTCATGCAAAATGGATTGATTGTATATTTTGTGGCCAATTTGTGTCTGCGAGTGTAAACATAGCCCCAAAACATCACCAGGATTTCTTTCATTAGCTGATCCAGAAAAATATCAGACCAGATTACATTAATTATGATTGCAGAAAATTTGGTCTTGATCATGTGGATTTTTGTACGTGAATCCGCAAACCACTGATTTCTTTAGCGAAAAATATAGATTTCTTTAGGATAAGGTTTATATCTCTTGTGCTTTGATTTTTTTTTAGTCTGTCTATGATTAGTGATAGCCTACAAACAAGCTAAATGGCAACTATAAATGCCATCATTTATATACTTCAAAACAGTGAATGAATTTGCACGACAAGAAGAATTGACTGTATGTTTTGTGAGCGAAACATAGTAGCCAATTGTGCACAGCACACAGTCGTGAATTGAGTGACCAAATTATTATTATTATGGAGGGATTATTAGCTCGGAAATGTGATCTGCCAATTGACTAACTACCTGGTCCTACTTACTGCTAGATAAACAGAGGCTTGTGAAATAAGGAAACTTGCCCAACGTTTTGCCCTGCTGGGAATTGAACCCATGTCCTCTCGCTTGCAAGGCGAGTTCTCTAACCACTAAGGTAATGGACTCCACAGAAATTTATGACACAGAAGAAGGGCATTCGGCCCATCTTGTCCATGTCGGTGCCCTCAAAGACAACCCTTTCAGATCCATTTACCTGGCCTTTCCCCATACCCCTGGAGCTGACTCTTCTTAAAGTAACTGTCTAGTTCCTTCTTGAAAGCCAATATAGATATGACACATCTCAAAACGTTTCACAGAATATACTGTAAAGTGAATTGATTATATATTTTGTGGGTGAAAGTACTAACTCACTGGTCAGTGCAAATCATTTCTCCATATTGACTCTATCAACACCCCTCATAATTTTAAAGGCCTCTATGATGTCACCCCTTAAACTTCTTCATGCCATCGAAAAAGTCCCATTTCCACCAGTCTCCACTCATCGGGCCAATCACATCATCCTAATAAATCTCCTCTGCCCCCCCTCTAACGCCTTGACGTCTTTCCTAAACTGTGGTGACCAATACTGGACACAATATTCTAACTGAGGTCCAACTAATGATTTATGTAAGTTTAGCATTACCTCAGTAACGTGAAAGCATTATCTCCAAAACAAAATGACCTCGCTGAGATAACACCAGAATTGCACTTTTGCATTTTATACATGCTGCCCTGTGATGTGTCCATTTGAAAGGATACTATTCAAACACCCTTTGTCAGAATTGACAAAACATAACACGCCACCCTTATTTCACCAACAAGAAATACCCCCATTATTCTGAATTTTTTTTTCATATGTAGAACTCACACTGTGTTCACTGGGATATCGTCGAACCTCTATGTGAATCCTATCTCACAAACCGCAAGCAGTACATCTGCATAAACGGCTTCTCCTTCCGCTCTCACCAGGTCACCTGTGGGGTACCCCAAGGATCCATCCTTGGCCCCCTTCTCTTTCTGATCTACATGCTCCCTCTTGGGATGTCATCCGCAGACATGGCATATATTTCCACATGTATGTAGATGACACCCAGCTTTACTTTTCCACCTCTCTTTGCGACCCCCAGTCCCCTGATGTTCTGTCAGGCTGCCTGTCAGACCTCAGGAGCTGGATGGGCGCAAACTTCCTTCAGCTGAACGTTGACAAGATGTAAGCCATACTCTTTGGCTTTCGTCAACGTCTGAAATCTCACGGTTCTCACGGCCTCCACCTACCCGACCTCCCCCTAAAACTCTCCCCCGAACCTGTACGCAACCTAGGTGTCAGGTTCGACCCTCAATTATCCTTCCTCCCCCAAATCCAGTCCCTCACCAGCACCGCTTTCTTCCACCTCCGACGCATCGCCCGTCTCCACCAATACCTCTCTCCGAAAGCCGCTGAAACCCGGGTCCATGCCTTTGTCATCTCTTGGCTGGACTACTCTAACGGCCTCCTCGCCGGTCTCCCATCCATTACCATCCATAAAATCCAACTCATTCGGAACTCTGCCGCCCGCATTCCCACCCGCATGAGACTCCGCTCCCCGATCACCCCAGTCCTTGCCAGACTGCACTGGCTGCCTGTCCCAGAGAGGATCAATTTCAAGATCCTCACCTCGTATTCAAGTTCCTGCACTCCTCTGCACCCCCTACCTCTCTGATATCCTCTATCCTCAGCACAGTACCCGTTGCCTTCGTTCCTCCGGGTCTGGCCTCCTCCTTGTCCCCCGAGTCCTCCGCTCCACCCTCAGCGGCCATGACTTCAGCCACTATGCCCCGAGGCTCTGGAATTCCCTTCCTCACTCCCTTCACCTCGTCCCCTCTCTTCCTATTTTCAGGTCTCTGCTGAAGACCTTTCTTTTCGACCGCGCCTTTGGTCACCTTCCTCCCCCTCCCCCTGGCTTGGTCCCAGGATCCTAAACTGTAAAGCGCTCTGAGATGGCGTCTGGCGTGGAGGGCGCTATATAAATCCAAGTTGTTGTTATGTAAAAATATATAACCTCTTCCTATTTAAATGTTTTTATTCTGGTTGCGTTCAGGTTTTATTCACTAACAGAAAAGGAACAAAGAGAATACTTCAATTAGGCGTTATTACATGTAAGATACCTAAAACTGGCAATGAAATACAGAAATTACTTAATTGCAGTTATTGTTAACTTAGTATCTATGAACGAGCTCTGGCCCAACGGGTTAGCACTAAGCTCCGGTGTTTGGACATGTGGGAGCTTAGAGGTAGTTGCAGAATTGTTCCCGGGGTCAAATGGTTCATTTGATCTTCGAGGCATTTCCTGTCCTGTCCATGGCAAAGCCGTTCACGCTTCGACCAGAACAAGCTCTCCTCGGTAAAGTCATGAGGTATCTTAGCAAGTGCTTGATGCTGAGAAAAGAGTTCCGGCAAATCAGACAAAATTAATTTAGATTTCTGTACTAGTTTCTGTACAATAAAACCTGCATAAGTCTGATCTGTATAATCATGTAAGCGCCTAAATTGTACATCTGCCCAAGTCCTGTTCAAGAGTTTATATTCCATACAAGTTTGACATAATCTGGGCCAATAGAAAAGTGTGGAAATATTTGCCAAAAATTGCGATGAGATTTGAAAATTGTGGGGATGTTTTGACAGATTTTGCAGAAAATGGTGGGGAGTTGTTTGGTGCTATTCATAGATGCATAGAATGTTATGGCACAGAAAGAGGCCATTCGGCCCATCGAGTCTGTGCCGGCTCTTTGACAGAGCAAGTCACTTTCACTAACCCCAATCACCAGCTTTCTCCCCATAACCCTGCAAACCCGTCTTCCCCAGATACCTATCCAGTTCTCTCTTAAAAGCTGTTATCGAATTGGACTTCACTACCCTTTCAGGCAGATCATTCCAAATTCGAACAACTCGCTGAGTGAAAAATTTCTTTTGACCACGGGTCACAGACACACCTACCAGCGGAAACAGCTTTTCCCTATCTAGCCTGTCGAAACCTTTCATGATCTTGAAGACCTCTATCAAGTCCCCGCGTAACCTTCTCTGCTCTAATGGGAAAAGTCCTAACTTCTCCAGCCTGTCCTCATAGCTAAGGTTCCCCATTCCTGGTATCATTCTCGTGAATCTCCTCTGCACCCTTTCCAGTGCCTTAATGTCCTTCCTGAAGTAAGGTGCCCAGAACTGGACGCTGTTCTCCAGCTGAGGCCTAACCAGTGTTTTGTATAGATTAACCATAACTTCCCTACTCTTATACTCTATGCCCCTACTAATAAAGCTCAGTACACCAAATGCCTTTTTTACTGCCTTATCTACCTGCCCCGCTACCTTTAATGATTCACTTACTTGAACACCCAGATCTCTCTGTACCTTCACCCCCCTTAAGATTGAGATACCAAGTCTATATTGCCTCCTATCATTTTTCCTACAAGAGTATCACCTCATATTTATCCACATTGAAATCCATCTGCCACATGTCAGCCCATTCCACCATTCTGTGTATGTCTGCTTGCAGTTGGTTACAGTCCTCCTCACTATTTACTACCCTACCTAACTTTGTTTCATCTGCAAACTTGGAAATAGTGCTCTCTATGTCCAAGTCCAGATCATTAATATATATTAGAAAGAGCAGTAGTCCCAATACCGATCCCTGGGGGACACCGCTGCACATCTCCTTCCATTTCGAGAAACACCCATTAACCACCACCCTCTGCTTTCTGTCACTCAGCCAGTTCTTAATCCAAACTGCCACTGTCCCCTTAATACCGTGGGCCTCTATTTTTTTTTATTAATCTCTTATGCGGTACTGTGTCAAATGCCTTTTTTAAAATCCATGTAAATAACGTCCACCGTATTTCCCTCATCATTGAGGTACATTTTACAGCCAACCTACATTTTTTTGCCATTAAAAACTAAACATGAAGAGATAACACATATTCGATTGTTGCAAAAAAATTAATTGCTTCTTTAACAAAAACTGGGTGGCCTTTTTTGTGGGGTAGGGGGACACCAGCAAGGCTACAGCCGCTCTCAAGGCCCAAAAAGGGAGACACAGAGAGAGAGACACACACTCACAGACATAGAGAGAGACACACACACTCACAGACACAGAGAGAGAGACACACACACACACAGACAGAGAGAGGGAGATACAGACATACACACAAACACTCACAAACATAGAGAGAGACACACAGACTCACAAACAAACACACACAAAGACACACAGATAATCACAACACCGGGCCCCCGAGTGAAGACAAAAAGCAGAGAGCAAATGGTTGTTTTTCTGACTGGAGGGAAGTGTCAGATGTGCCCCCAGCGGTCAGTATTGGGACCACTGCTGTTTTTTGATCTATTTAAATGACCCGGACTTGGGTATAGTGAGTACAATTTCCAAGTTTGCAGATGATACTAAGCTAGGAAAAGTAGTTAGCAGTGAGGAGGACAGTAACAGACTGCAAAGAGATATAGACAGACTGGTAAAATGGGCAGACACGTGGCAGATGAAGTTTAATGTGGAGAAATGCAAAGTGGTGCATTTTAGGAGGAAGGATGAGGAGAGGCAATATAAGCTGATGGTACAATCTTAAAGGAGGTGAAGGAACAGAGAGACCGGGGGGTTCATATAAGTAAATCTTTGAAGGGGAGAGGTAGATAAAGCTGTTAAAAAGCATATGGAATACTAGGCTTTATAAATAGGGGCATAGAATACAAAAGTCAGGAAGTTATGATGAACTCTTTATAAAACACTGGTTAGGCCTCAGCTAGAACTGTGTTCAGTTCTGGGCACCACACTTTAGGAAAGATGTCAAGGCATTGGGGAGGATGCAAAGGAGATTTACCAGGATGGTACCAGGAATGAGGGACTTCAGTTATCAGGAGAGACTAGAGAAGCTAGGATTAATCTCCTTGGAGCAGAGAAGGTTAAGAGGAGACTTAACAGAAGTTTTCAAAATTATGAGGGGATTCAATAGGGTGAACAAGGAGAAACTATTTCTACTGGCGGGTGTGTTGGTGACCCGAGGGCACCAATTTAAAATAGTTGTTAAAAGAACCAGACGGGAGGTGAGGAGAACTTTTTTCACATAGAGAGTTGTTCAGATCTGGAATGCATTGCCTGAAAGGGTGATGGAAGCCAATTTGATAACAACTTTCAAGAGAGAAGTAGATAATTATTTGGGAGGACAAGTTTGCAGGGCTATGGGGAGAGAGCGGGGAAGTGGGATTGATTTGGATAGCGCTTTTCAAATAACTCATACTTTGCATAAGTCATATTAAATGGATGGTCCCAATTAATATGATTTATGTGAGGTTTACTGTATTACTTTCATAATTTTATTAAAGAGTTTTTTGTCAATTAAAATTACCCCTAAACCCATTTTGTTTGTTGCTCATACATTACCACAAGGCCTGAAATTCCAACTAGTCAGCCTGAAAGACTATCATTTTGTCTTAAAATTTAAGATCACACAGAATTATGGAACATTCTTAAATTTAATCGAAATTTGAAAGCTGATTGTATTTCAAGGGACTGCAGAAAACTAGCTTCCAAATTAAGACTCAATTTAAGAATTTTCCAAAATTTTGCACAGACTTAACTTTTAATATTTACAGGTTTAAGTTTAGGTGGAATTTGGAGATTCTGGAGTACAAGCCCCTGTCTCTGGCTTAATGGTGCTAAGACCAATTTAAGTTACCTAAACTTCTGGCTGGCTGATAAAAGCTAACTCAGCATACAGAACTCAAAGCAAATACAATGAGCGTTGTGTTTCCCTACTCAAGCCTCTTGGAGAACAAAGGTGCATTAATGATCTCTCAATCATCCAAAAAATTCACACTTTATAATAATACCTTCAAAATTAATTTCCTATTTTTCATGTCATGTTTCCAAGGCATCACGTAAAGCCTTGGAATACATGGGTGCATGTCTGAGAAGATCGGCATGTGGCTGTAACTGCAGCTGGAAAAAGAAAACCAAGAAAAATCAGTTCAAGTTTTGCCTGAAAAGGCTGTATCTAAAAATTAACGTTTGGGAGGAGTGTGTGCGTGTGTTTGGTGGTGGGGGGTCGGTGGGGAGATGTGTGATTTGTGCTTTGATAATTCTCACATCACAGTGTATATTTCCCCTCAACTAATGCAATTCAGTAATGTGTGAATTGAATGTATGGAATGTACTTAGTCCACCCCAATAGCCCAGCGAGTTTATCTAGTGAGTAAACTCAGTCATATAGCCCCAGAATATTCCAGGTTTTGACTCTGGCATATCCGAAGTCAGCTGATCTGTTATTCTGGATGAGGCTCAGTGGCACTACGATTGTCCTCAGTGTTTGTAAAATCAATGAAGCCTCTTGCTCCTCATCACTATCCAGTGAACCATGCTGACACTTCTTTTTAGGTATTGATGTCAGGTGCAGACAGCATCAGGTTTAGCTGTGGATGATGCCCGTGGTCAAATAACCTCATATGATTTATTATCTTGGCCACTTGGACTTGGATAAGATGTTGCAGGCTGATTACATGCCCATGTGAAATCGTACCCTACTATAAGTGAACAAGAAATAAAATATCTTCATGAGAATGGAGAAAAATCGTTGGGCAAAATCAGCAAATGGTAAAAAATATACAATGTATAATGGTCACTGACTCAATTATCACCCGATAAACAACCACTGGTTACATCACAATTATTGATCAATCATGTCATCATGATTCAATGACATACACACTGACTGTCATCATCTCCATGATAAGGCACACAGAAAGGACTCAAAAATTAAATTGCAAAAAAATCGGAATTTGTTATGAAATGTAGGTTGTCTGGGGTATAGTTAGCGCTACAATCTCATTATGGGGATCCACATCAATGGATTCAAAATAAGGAGAAATAAACTTAAAGTTAGAGCTAAGCTTTCGTCACCTCCCAACTCAATTTTTCCAATGCGTTCCTTGCCAGTCTACCCAGCTCCACTATTGACAAAATCCAAATGATCCAAGATTCTGCTGCCCTATCCTTACCTCTACCTGGCTCTGCATCTCCATCAACCAGGGTCCATTGGTACCCTGTTGCAGAATAATTCCATTCCAAGATCCTCACTCACTTTTAAACCTCCCTGCCTCTCCGATCGGCTCTAACCACTTTCCAGTACCTGCTACCTTTGCTCAGCTAGTTTGGTGCTTCTCCACATCCCTTGTCCCCTCCGCTCCACAATTGACAGCAGAGCTTTCAGCCACTATGCCCTGTATTTTTGAAACTCCTTGCCTCAATCCTTCCATCTTGCCCCGTCTTTGCCCATCGGCAAATCATAACTGAAGACTTTCCTCTTCAACCGTGCCTTCGGTCACCTTCTCTTCATTTCCCTTACAAAGGGTTGTAAAATGTGGAATCATTGCCACAGAAAGCTGCAGATGCAAAATCAATTGCACATCAAAGGTAACAGAGGGAGAAGAAAAATAAACTGTAGTTTGCCCATATTACTGAGGAGGGGGCCTTAACATGAATGTCCATCTTATTATGATAAACCAAATGCAAATCACAATACGGGCACCTTAAATGATAGATAAATAATTCTTGTATTTGATGTAACGCCTTATCATGTCTTTGAGACGTCTCGAAGCGCTTCACAGAATATATTGTAAAGTGAATTGACTGTATATTTTGTGGGTGTAATGCGGCAGCCAATTGCGCACAGCAGTGTCCCACAAACAGTCGTGGATTGAGTGACCAATTTTTTATTATTATTGTTTTTTTTTAAAGTATTATTCCCCCCAGAAAAGTGATCAGCCAATCGACTAAAAATGGGGTTAAACAAAGGCGTGTGGAATAAGGAAACTTGCCCAACATTTCGCCCTGCCGGAAATAGAAGCCAGGACTTCTCGTTTGTGAGGTGAGTGCTCTAAACACTGAGCTACAGGACTCCAAATGACAGAGCTGCTCACATTTTGGGATCAGTGCTGGTTCCTACATTGTTTGTCATTGTCATTCACGGCTCGTCAAAGGTTGAGATTCTGTCTCACTGCTGCAAATAAATGCAGGGCTGTCCCAAGCGATGTATGATATTCAAATACAGGAATTATACCCATGATTATGTTTGTTTTGTATTATGACTCAGTTATCAACAATTATGATATCACTCAATCAACTATTCCAAACTTCGCAGAGAGTTCATTGGTGACTCTTGTTGAGCAATAAGGCTTGCACATCTTGTAATCTCATTGGGCTAAAACCTATGACCAACAATTAGATATTATTTCTATGGCAATAATAACCTCGTACCTTACCAGTGTGAAATGCTGGTAAGTTTCATGATATTTGTCCATTAGGAAAGCCCTATCTGCTAGGGCAGCAATTGTTCAAATACCTCCAATTTTCATTCTCTTTTTCAAGCAAAAAAAACTTGTAAATTAACAGATTTATTACACAGCATACGTATTGAAGGCCTGACCACCAATGCTGGGACAGGCAAGGCAGGGTATGTGAAACAGGCCGGAGCCCACCGAGTGGAGAGAACAGACAGGTTGGTAGGGTGTTAGGAGGTCACAGAGGTAGGGAGAAGTGAGGCCATAGAGGGCTTTGAAGGTGAGGGCCAGCATCTTGAACTGTACCCTCTGTGTGATGGGAAGCCAGTAGATTTGGGCGAGGATGGGGCTATTAGAGTTGCGGAGCCTGGTGCGGGAGAGAACACGGGCTGCAGAGTTCTGGATGATCTGCAGCCTATTGAGGGAGGAGTTACTGTTGGGTTCAGGGTAATGAACAGAATAAAACCCACTTATTCTATTCAGCCCACTTTTAATAAAGACCAGAGAACAGAGAAACCAAAGACACTCAGCAACTTATGTTTGAAAATTTCTATACTTTATGAAATGTAAAGTTTGTTAAAATGTTCAAATATCACAATACAAAAGACAAGTCAATAGCATAAACAAATGTCTGTATCAAAGTAAATGAAACAATAATTGCTTAGTCCATAAATCATACAAATCTTCTTTGATGGAGTCAGTTGATGAATGTCCCGAACAGCAGGCAACAGTCTTGCATCAATGGAAAGTCTCTTAATTCAGACCCAAAACATCTTGCTCGGGTATTTTTATCACAAAGTCAGAGTTGAATTTTAATGATGTACAGCTGAGCTGTGCACTTTAATCAACAGTTGTGATACATTGCTAATTCTTCTCGATAGTTGTTATATGTTGCTATTTCTGCTCGACAGTCGTTATACTTTGTTATTCTTCTCATCCCATTACCTGTCAATCGATTTCGGATGTTCTGGAATTACCGTAGTTTCCTTCTGCCTGAAATTGCTGGAGTTAACGAAAGTTGATGAAATGATGGAATAGTCTAAGTCTGGCGGATTTTAACTCTGAAGACAACACATTGACTTCACCACTTAATATCATCACATGAAAGATGGCTTTTTGTGTGGACAGCACCTGATATGCTCTGTCCTCAGCTGAACAAAGTATAGTTCAGTCATACATCTTTTATAATCGATTTTCCACAGGCAGGATAAGAATGAACAATCTTTCTTTCTCACATACATGAAGCAATTATCTCATATATAAAAAATAGTCTGCAGAATTGTCATAGAACACTTTAACCCACTTTAATGATTAAAACATGAATTTGTTATAGGAAAACATCTTCAGCTACCTCACCGTTAACACAACACTAATTAAAAGATGGACAAACATCTTTAACAATTGTAAACAAGTCATCTTGACATTTTTCTAGTCACATCATGATTTTTAACCATTAATGGTGGCTAATCATCATAAGCATCTCTTAACCATTGATTAAAATAATTCTTTAGACTACATGGGTTAACATATATTCACAATTTCAAATTATAAGCGGGATCACAACATTGGGGAGACCGATAAGCAGGGAGTTTGGTTGTCGAGCCTGGATGTTATAAATGCATGTATGAGGGTCTCAGCGGCCTGCGATGTGAAACATCTTCTTGACGTTCAACTGTAGAAAGTTAGCTCTCATCCAGGATTTGATATCTGACAAGACATTCTGTGAGGACAGCAGTGGTCCTGGAGTCAAGGGTAGAGGCAGAGAGGTAGAGTTGGGTGTCATCCGCATATATGCTGAAGTTGACCCCCATGTCTGTGGATGATGTCACCAAGAGGGAGCATATAGATATTGAAGAGGAGGGGACCAAGGACAGAGCCCTGAGGAACTCCGCACAAGATGGTGCGGAGGCTAGAGGAGAAGCCATTTGTGGAGATGGTGTGAGAGGTATGATCTGGACCATTCAAAGACAGAACCATGAAGGCTGAGGTGAGAGGAGAGGTGGTGGAGCAGGATAGAGTGATAGGCTGATTTGTTCACCTACAAATATAGTATACGACATAGAAATGTTATGAAGTGCTTAGAGATGTTTAATGTTATAGGCACCATATATTCTTCAGCCCATTTGATCTCATCCTTCCAGAATACCCACCTTATTGTCATGCTATATTTAGAACAAAGTTCAGAAAAACAGTGCGCAATGAACCCAAACTGTATTTTAGCCATAATAGCAAAACATAATCTTGATAAACTATTGTAATAATTTAAAAACAATTAATGGTTAAACAAACAAATTATAAACTCATTAAACAGAACAGTCAAGAAACATTCAGATTTGGTGCGTGCAATTACAGCCAGCAGTTTATCTGAATAGTTCAAAGAACATTAAAGTTTTGGGAATAAATTGGATAAGAATGAGTTAATTCCAATGTTATACAGCATTATTTATTCATTCAACACAAGCACTGTTAACAATAGTTACATAAACATAATCTGCTGAGATCTCCAGCCAGTTAACTCAGTGGTAGCCAAAATACATTTTGTTAATTGAATATTTGTCATTGAAAAGCGTTTCAAATAGGTGGAAAACCTATGACCAATGCCAACACCACAAATAGATGCAAGATATTAAATTATGCTAGCATTTGTGGATGGTAAGTGGTGTTGTTTCCAAATTTCTTTTTAGCATGATTGGGGGGAAAACAAAAATGGAGTTTGACATTAAATTGATTGCTTTGTTATGTGTTGGTCAGAAACCTAGTTAGATGGGTTTAATGAATATTTTTAAAAACTTTTAAACTAGTTGCATTGTTGAATAACAATAAACTTGCAGATTGTTGCTGGGTACTTTTCCACATACTCCCGATCCTTGACCAAGTGGCCTTTCTTAATGTTGGAAAAACGATCAGAGTGGATGACTGACAAACCTTATCCAGTTCTCATCTATTTATTTACACTTTCCTACAAAGATCATTGGACAGTGGTCAGAAGCAGGAACCTGGACTATTTTTTTGTTTTTCCTTCCCCAACAAGGGCACCAAGACTAATTGTAACACTACTCCCTACCCAGTTGAGATAAGCTAACAGCACAGAAAGGGGATCAAACTTCCCACCTTCTTGCTTTGCATTAGGACAATTTCACATTGGCTGTTGGCTTTACCATTTTAATTATTATTATTTTCATTATTTGTTTCTCAACAGAATACTTACCACTTCCTAGGTGCCTGAAACCCAGCAGTTTTGTACCAACTAATACAATTCAAATTGTACTGAATTAAAACATTATGGGTTTCAAATGCACGTTAAAATGTTTTGCTAGGAGTGCAATTAATTTTCTTAAAAAAACACAAGTTTCCAGATTTAGGAGGAAATATACTAAACAAAACCACAACAAATTAAACACAGACATAGCTCCTTCTCATGCCTCCTAGCAGATATTTAATGCAAATATAGTCACGGTAGCATATGATGAAATTTGCTGCAATGCTGAGCTTTATATCATACATCCTCTATGCAATGAAATGCTGCTGAGTGGCAAACAAAAAAAAACTTTACATTCTTAGAAAGATCTCTCCTTTGAAATGAAGCATCCTGAAAATTGTGAAAATTAGAATTATGAAAATCTTGCTCTGGAACATATTCCTCCTAATCACCTGCAATGTTTTTCAAATATAAAAAGCGTCTGATACATTTGAGAGATCAAGGAGAAAAAGTAGGAAACAATTAAATGTACATCAACTATTAATGTCTGAACACAATTTTGTCAATAAAAAATGCTTTCCCCTCATCTCACCAGCTCTTTCCATGGGTAGCTTCAACTGGCTCCTAACACTAGACTTCGAGATTGTGCTGTATTTGGTAAGAAACAACTTCAATATTTCTGAATACACATGACTGTTTGGTGAGAAGCTAATCTGCAGGATTGGTACATGATCCAGCTGCAATGGACTTGAGAAATAATCCTTGCATTTGATATAGCGCTTCTAGACGTCTCAAAACGCTTCATCGAATATACCGTAAAGTGAATTGACTGTACATGATCCAGCTGCAGTGCATCTGAAAAGCTTCTTAAGCTGTGTAATATTACCTCCCTGGAAACATTAGGAGTAGGCCCTGGGTTTATCATTGTGTTGACAGACCCACTGGTAAAACCGGGATCCAACAGGTGAAAGCTATATACTAAGGGTTGGAATGGGCTCATTCTCATACAATACTGTTTATTACATCTGTACCAATTTATTTAATTTGTTGAGATTAGAATTGATAATGCGTGTAAATTTCAAAAGCTGTATGCTTAAGAGGATAAATAGCCCACAATAGATTGAAGAAAATTTACTTGGCCAAATGGTACAAATTTCAACATGGGTAAAGGATTCAACAAGTTATAAAATCAATGTTACATAACTAACTGTTCTAAACTTTCTTCTGCCATCTCTGTCAGGAATGCATTAGATTTTAGTACTAGTCCACGGAGTACAACAATGAAGTCTAGCAATCTACATAGTTGGATGGAAACGCTGTGCGTTGAATCAAAATCAACATTAATCCAACAAATTGACATCACTTCACTAGCATGTTCATTCAAACTCCATGTAGCTTAAAATATTCAACTGTCATTTTCAGCCTGAAAGGAATATCCACATTTTTTTAGTTTTTCCAACTTCGCAAAATTTTTAAAAAATCTCAAGGTCATTACTATTATCAAGCTCAATTGCATCTTCAGGATCCTCTACAGGCTTCTCTGTGTGATGTTCTTCTGTATCCTCAACAGAAGCCAAAGCATCATTTGTGTCACTGGCAAAAGTCTCTCGAGAGGTGTCATCATCTACTTGTAGATTAAGGTCTTTAATGGCCTGTTTCACCTTCTTTCCAACAAGGTGTCGCCTTCGTTTCTTAGCTGCCTTTCTGTTATTGTACTTCTGATTTTCATCATAAAAAATTTCCTGTTGAATAAAAATAAATGTGTCTAAGATACTCAAACCAAACAGCACCTCTGGCAATGCAGAGATCCCCCAGCTGAGTGTCAGACTAGATTTTTTTTTGTCAGCTGGGTGTCTGACACATGCGGAAACCCATCATCATGCTTAAGAGTATCCAAACCAAGCTTCCATGCCTCCCACTTACACATAGAAATCCCAGAGATAAGATTGTTGGAATTGTTTGTGCACTCTCTCCCTGGAGGGAAGCACCCTGCTTACCTAATTCCGGAAAGCATTTGGTGCAGGTTGGCAAGAGCCAAAGCTTAGGGACCCCAGTGTGTGTGCTGGGGTACTGCTGGAGTCTAACCAGCTAAAACCGCAGCTTGCCGTTGATATTGCTGTACGGCAATTTTTCCTGCTGCTTGTCCAGCCAGGACCATCCTACCCGTTAAGGCTTTGGTTTGCAAGAATGACGAGGAGCTGAGTGGGATGACTCCCTGCGCCCAGTGACTGGTCAGCCCTTCCAGGTCCTGCCGATGAGCCAGTTTGGATGTGCTATCATCAGAAGTGCCCTGGAATACTGTGGATCCGCCTGGCTCAGGAACCAGTCTACCAAGACCACCACAGATGTTGGCTCGATTCCAACATTCCATTGCCAGGCTTGTCATCTTGGAGCCTGTTCAGCTCCAAGGAGACCTGGCTTATATTGGACTAGACTTTGAGCTCGACATCCCGATAGTGGACTCAAATCCACAACCTTCTGATTCAGAGACCTGGCTCAAATATGCAAATAACATTGATTTATTGGGTACAATACGCCTGGGAAATTTAATGCCAATTAAAATCCATTCTGTTCAAACACAAATTTTGTCGATAAAATATAGTCAATTCACTTTACAGTATATTCTGTGAGGCACTTTGAGATGACTCAAAGACGTGATAAGACACTATATCAAGGATGCAAGGATTATTATTATGGTGTTCATAAGTTTGAACGGAATGTAAATTTCAAAAGTACGGTCAAAGGGGTGCGTTTTGAAATGTACCTTGAAAGATGGGAGGGAAGGAGAGAGCAAGTTGGAGGGACTTGGGAATTGAGTTTCAGAAAGCAAGCGCCAACTGGCTGATAGCCTGCCTACCGATAATGAGGTGGACAGTAACAGCCAGGTTAGTATAGTAAAAGAGATATAATGAATAAATTTACTTGATGCTGCTTAACAAAATACTGAAAAGATTGGCATGCTGACCTTTATTTGATCATGGGTGATGCTTGGCATGTTCTTCAGTAAGTTCAGGTAGACCCCACCAGGTGTTCTTCGGCGACTGCCGTCCTGCAGGGAAGAAAATGTAATTATGTGACATAATAAGTGACATGCCTCGCCAAAGAAAATTCCAAACAGCATCCTAACGGCATGCAATTGCAACTTCACTGATCGCACAACTGGTGACAGTACACAAACCCTGGATTATCAGCTCTGCCACATTCATTTCCTGTGCATTCGCACAGAAAGCCGCCAGCATTGGAATACGTAACCTAACCTATCAGTGTGAGTAGGTTTGATTTGTGCATTATCACTTTCTGCAATACTCTCAGTGTGCAGAAATTGATGTTGGCAGCAATCTGATGATGTGGATATTGGATATGTGGTTAAAAAAAAACTTGGTAAAGTGTAGCTTTTCAATCCTTTGTTTCTCATTTTATGGACTTAATTAATGGTTCAAGAAACAGCTATCGCACAACTTATTGTGGTTTTATAACTAGATTTCACACACTTCCTAGATGATTAAGTACTAGAACATTTTATTTTAAAAGTTCCTACTATCCAAGTACCCGACAATTTGTTCAGCACCCATCATGTGATAGCAATCTTGAAATTATTTACAAATCCATATGCTTAGGAATCCCAAGAAAGGCAAATTAAGCCTACTGTGTTAAATTGGTTTTATGCTTACGGCTGTGGAAGCGTATTACAGAAGTTAGATACGCTTCCACAGGACAATTATGATTATACTTAGAAAATTCACTACTTCCCCAAAATTATGTATATGTTTATTTTTGCAATGTAATAAATAATTTGCAATGACTTTTGAGACTATCTGTTCTCATCACTTAGGTGTTAACCTGGTGTTTGAGACATCTTATTTTACTCCAATAAAACAACACTGGCTCCCCTGATGACCCAGTGGCTAAAGTTACATTGTGCTTCACTCAGCCATATCAACAAATGGAGCACTATAAATGGGCTTTGCACTCCCGAACTTGGGATGCAAAAACAAAAAATCAGTGTTCATCTTTTTGATTGCTACTCATTGATCCCAGCTGGAAAATGTGTTTGTGGATGTCGGGTAGTATCAGGTTCAGCCCCCAGCCCCACTTTGAGGGTGGTCTATCCTGCAGACATTCTTTATTTGGGCAAAAATAAGCAAAAACATAAATGATGAAAATGGCCCACTTGAGTGAGGTACCGGGTAGCTGCCAGTGCCTGCGGAACATTAGTAACAGTCAGTGCCTTTAAGAGAAGGGAGGTGAAGGTGGGGAAATTAACAGAAGATTTGAACATTGTGTCTTTCACCAAACCTGGAGATATTTGGAACATAAGTAGTACATTTATAATTAAACTATTAGTGTTGGTATCATACCAACAACTTGCATTTATGTAACGCCCTTCACATGGTTAGCGTCAGAGAGTGCTTAATACTGCATGCCAGTGATGCTTATTTTAATTCACATTATAGACATGTGGAGGAAGTTAAGAGAACACTGCTCAAGCACCACACATTTGCAGATGCAACTGACAAATGTGTGGAGCCTGCGCATGCCCACTGAAGTACTGGATGATAAAGAGAAAATATAGTAATTGATTTTCAACTTAGAGCACTATCATAACAAAATCACAATCACTGATCCATATGTGGACAATGCATAATAATAACCCTTAGTACACCTCCTCATGTCTTTAAGAAGTTTCAAAGCGCTTCACGGAATATAAAGTGGATTGACTATATTTTGACACAGCAGTGTCGCACAAACAGTTGTGGATTGAGTGACCAATTATTTCTTTTGGAGGTATTATTACCCCCAACAATTACTGCTAAACCAAAACTACAACTTCAGTTATAAACAACCCCAACTGCTGCTCGTTTTTTTGCAAGTTCATTGTTACTCTTAATTAACGTAAACAGTTATTTACCATAGTCAAAATACCGCCATTCTGTTCCACCTCGGAGGTTTCCATCAGGAGCTCTATTGCTTTCCTCTTGCCTATGCTTTTCACAACCCGATGAATCAGATCAGCCTTTGGTTCTCGGAGCCTGAAAGAAATATTAAAATGTCCCAAGTGGCTTCAAATTCAAAATTAGAAACAAAAGTAGAGAGTAAAGGGCATCCATAGATCTCAATATGGAGGCAACAGAACCTCAGCTTTACAGCTGATTGCAAATCAAGATCACAGGTTAATACATTATGGGAAATGTATTCTTCTTTAGAAGAAATGAATGCAAATATTTCAAATACGTTAAGCATTTTGAAAAATGCTCAAGATAGATATGGTCCCAGACATATACTGACACACTTGCTTGCTCATTGTGGGCAACGGTAACACTGATTTTTACAGGTTTAATTCACGTGTTTTTTTCGTCAGCCAGGTGTCTGACACATGGGGAAACCCATCACCATGCTTAAGAGTATCCAAACCAAGCTGAGATTTCCATGCCTCCCACCTACATATGGAAATCTCAGATGCAGGTTGTTGGAATAGAATGTGCACTCGCCCTGGGGGGACACATCCTGATTACCTAATTCCGATATGCATTAGGTGCAGGTTGGCAAGAACCAAGGCTTGGATACCCCAGAGTGTGTGTTGGGGTACTGCTGGAGTTTAACCAGCTAAAATTGCCTAGCTTACCATTGATATTCCTGTTCATCAAGCTTTCCAGCTGGTTGTCCAGCTAGGACCACCCTACCCGTTAGGGCTTTGGTTTGCAGGGTTAACAGCAGCTAAATGGGATGACTCCCTTCCCTGTGTCTGGTCTGCCCTTCCAGATCCCGCCGATGAGCCAGGCTGTCTGCACTGTCTTCAGCAGTGCCTTGGAATAGTGTGGACCCACGTGGCTCAGGAACTGGACTACTGAGACCGGCAGAGGACTGGCTCGATTCCGACATTCCATTTTCAGTCACCTTGGAGCCAGTCCACACCCACACCCACCCACCCTGCAGTGGGGTGACTCGGAAGAAGCGGACACTGGGGTGCTACAATTTGTGTCAGGGGCCTGCACTAGCATAAAAGTCAGAATTCCCACTTCTGATCACCATCCTATACACAGCCATTATACACAACAGTAATTACTGTGAAGTAATTTAGAATGCTTTGATGCTTAAAAGGCACAGTAACGATTACTTTTTTCTATGACCAACCCATCATAGACTTTTGAAATTAGTGAAAAAAACAAACCTGTACGCAATCTCCTCTGAAATCTTGTTTGAACCATCATCCTCCGTGATCTCATATCTGCCCTTGTGTTCCATCTCTAGCCTCTCGCCCAGTCTCTCTTTGACTGGACGCTTGCGTTTCAGGTATGCGTGACTAATTGCTCCGTGGTTTGTGCTCTTTCCCTCTTCCACATATTCGTCCAGTTCAGCTTCCAGCTTTGCGAGCTCTGCGGATTCTTCTTCTTCTTCCTGCTTCTCCATCATCTTCTTTGCCAGCGCATAATTATAAGTCTCAGACTGCCGGGAATTCATGTCAATGTTGCCTTCCATTCCCAGAATCCCTAGCTCCGTGGCCACAGCGTCCTGATTCTGCTCCTGCAATACTGCACCCCAGACGTTGTTCACTTTGCGGCCCAAAGTATCACCATTGTTTTCTGTTTTAATTTGTCTCGCTCCAAAGGGACCAAAAGGGAAAGCTGGAGGTTTCAAAGGCAAATTATTCCCATCGTCTGAACACTTCTGCCTCTTCCTCTTCCACTGAAGCCTGTCCTCTTCTTCCGAGTCACAGTCACTATCTTCACTTGAATCGTCGGACACGGTGGTTCGGTACCGACTCCTCACATCATATGAAGACAGGCGACCGGCAGCCTCATTCTGTGTGCTCAAAGGTCTCGCAGATAAGTTAGGAACTTGTGCTTGCTGGATCTGTTAAAGAAGCATATTGCAAGATGAGTCAGGACAGTTATTGTTGTAAGATATAGAGAATAAAGACCAACGAGTAAATAATAATACTTGCATTTAACGTATGCTAGACAAAAAAAACAAGGTCCATCTGGTTGGCCTTTCACCTTGCTGGCAGTCACATGCACATACGTTCCAAGCTACTATATCCCATAATGTTATTTCCTAAAAAAACAATCTAATCTGTGTTTAAAGGAATCAATACTTCCTGCTTCAACCATCTCCCAAGGGAGCCTGTTCCACATGTTTACTATTCGATCACTGAAATAGTGTTTCCATAGATTCGTTCTGAATTTACCCCCTTCATTCACAGGCCATTGCCTCTGGTTTTACTATTCTGGACTAGTTGAAACAGCCTGTCATGATCTATATTGTCTTGCCCCTTTAGAATCTTCAATCATATCGCCTCTCAATCTTCTCTTTTCCAGCGAGAACATGCCCAATTTACTTAAGTCGCTCCTCATAGTCCAAACCCTCCATTATTTGGTTGCCGTCCTCTGTATTTTCTCGATTTCTCCCATTTCCTTTTTGTACTGCGGTTACCAGAACTGTAGACAGGACTCTATGTAATTTATATAGCGGCTATAATGTCAAAGGCAATCACTACCAAGTATTGTGAAATGTGGCAGCCAATTTGCACATAGCAAAGTCCCACAAACTGCTATGAAGTGAAAGACCAATTTGTCATGGTATCAGAATAATAACTGGACATTATCATAAAGGCTGAAATAGAAAAATATGGTCTTAATATCAGAATAGGGTTAATTGCTATCTCGCTACCGGCCCATCTCAAACCTCCCTTTCCTATCCAAGGTCCCTGAGAGAGCCGTTGCATCCCAGCTTCGCTCTTTCCTCTCCTTCCACTCCCTCCATGAACCCCTCCAATCGGGTTTCCGTGCTGCCCACAGCATGGACACTGCTCTGGTCAAGGTCACAAACGACATCCTGACCATGTGCGACCAGGGCTCCCTCTGCCTCCTTGACCTCTCTGCTGCCCTTGATACTGTGGACCACTCAATCCTCCTCCACCCCCTCTCCTCCCACCTCAACCTTCACAGTTCTGTCCTTGAAGGGTTCAAGTCCTATCTTTCACACCGCCTCCACTTCGTTGCAGAAAACGGCTTCTCCTCCAACCCCCGCACCGTCTTGTGCGGTGATCCTCAGGGCTCTGTCCTCGGACCCCTCCTCTTCATCCTCTATATGCTCCCCCTTGGTGACATCACCCGCAGACATGAGGTAAATTTCCACATGTATGCGGATGACACCCAACTATCTCCTGCTTCCACCCTGAACTCCAGGACTATTGGCGTCCTGACTGACTGCCTATCTGACATCAAGTCCTGGACGAGGGACAACTTTCTCCAACTCAACGTCAGCAAGACCGAGGCCCTCCTGATTGGCTCGCGCCAGTGCCTCCGCACCTCAGGCGCTGGCAGCATCAGCCTCCACGGCTGCACACTCAACCTCACTAAGCCAGTCAGGAACCTGGGTGTCTTGTTTCACCCTGAACTGTTCTTTCTCCCCCACATCCGCGCCATGACCGGCACTGCCTACCACCACCTCCGCAACATCACCAGACTCTACCACTGCCTCACCCCTCAAGCTAATGAAACCCTTATCCATGCATTCGTCACATTACGATACGGAAACTCCCTTCTTGTCGGCCTTCCCAACGCTTCCCTTCACAAGCTGCAGATCATCCAAAACTCTGCAGCTCGTGTACTCTCGCTCACCAGGCTCCGTGACCCCATCACTCCTTCCCTTGCCCAACTCCACTGGCTCCCCATTGCTCAGAGGATCGAATTCAAGATCCTCGTCCTCACTTTCAAGGCCATCCTAGCTCTCTGACCTGCTGACTCCCTACCAATCTGCCCGCTCCTCCATTCAGCGGGCTCTGGTCTACTCCATGTCTCCCGCACGACCTGCCTTACCATCGGTGGCCGGGCTTTCAGCCTCTCTGCCCCCAACACTCTGGAACTCCATCCCAGGGTCCCTTCGCCTCGTTTCCTCCCTTGCCTCCTTCAAGGTCGGTCTCAAGACCCTTCTCTTGGACTGTGCCTTTGGTCTCCCTCCCACCTCTCTGCCTTCCCTCACCCCCACACCATCCCTCCCCCATGTTCGGCCCTGACACCTGACTGTTCAGCGCTTTGGGACGTCCTCCCGACGTGAAAGGCGCTCTGTAAATGTAATTTTGTTGTTGTATCTGAATGGGTCCTCAGTACTCCCAAGGCACTGTTGATGACAGAGCCACAACCCTGGCTTCTCGGCAGGACTTTGAGCGGTAGACAAGTCACTCTAAGCAGGGATTCTTCCCATTTGGCTCAGGTTAACCCCTCAAGCCGTAACGAGTAAGGTGCTCCTAGCTAGATAAGCAGCAGGAAGCTTGTCAGACAGTACTCACAACAGCATGCTCTGTGGCTTTAACTAAAAAAAACGCCAGGAGCAGCCCAATATGCACTCCGAGGTCACCACAATTGGGCTACTGCCAACCTGCATCCCTCTGAAAAGTGTGCTCCCCGTTCCAAATACGTGGTAAATTTCAACAACAACAACATGGATTTATATAGCGCCCTCCACACCAGACGGCATCACAGAGCGCTTCACAGTGACGGATCCCGGGGCCGAGCCATGGGGAGGGGGAGGAAGGTGACCAAAGGTGCAGTCGAAAAGAAAGGTCTTTGGCCGAGACCTGAAAATAAGAGAGGAGGCGAGGCGAAGGGAGCGACGAAAGGAGTTCCAGAGCTTCGGGGCATAGTGGCTGAAGGCATGGCCGCCGATGGTGGAGCGGAGGATTCGGGGGACAAGGAGGAGGCCAGAGCCGGTGGAGCGAAGGCAATGGATACTGTTTTGAGGAGAGAGGTCAGAGAGGTAGAGGGGTTGCAGAGGAGTGGAGGGATTTGAAGACAATGGTGAGGATCTTGAAGTCGATCCTCTCTGGGACAGGGAGCCAGTGCAGTCTGGCAAGGACTGGGGTTATCGGGGAGCGGAGCTTGGTGCGGGTAAGAATGCGGGCGGCAGAGTTTTGGATGACCTGGATTTTGTGAATGGTAATGGAGGGGAGACCGGCGAGGAGGGCATTTGAACAGAGCAGCGGAGAGGTGACAAAGGCATGGACCAGGCTTTCAGCAGCTTTTGGAGTGAGGTATTGGCGGAGACGGCCGATGCATCGGAGGTGGAAGAAAGCGGTGCTGGTGAGGGACCGGATGTGGGGGAGGAAGGATAATTGGGGGTCGAACCTGACGCCTAGGTCGCGTACGGGTTCGGAGAGTTTTAGGGGGAGGTCGCGTAGGTGGAGGCGATGAGAACCATGTGATTTTAGATGCTGATGAGAGCCAAAGAGTATGGCTTCCGTCTTGTCAACATTCAGCTGACGGAAATTCGCGCTCATCCAGCTCCTGGTGTCTGACAAATTTCCACACATAGGGGCATACACGTGTGGAACCGTGTGGTTTAGATGCTCTTTAAGCATGGCAATGGTTTCCATGTGTGTCCGAATCCAGGGCTTTCCTCAGGACCAAATTTCGGCCGTCCCTAGAAACACCAGAGGTGGTTTGAACGAGAGGTCTAATTTGCAGAATGGGTTAACCCCCCTGTAAAAATATATTCACCTTTCATAAGTTAATTGCAATCATTTAGATCACCTCAAATTCATTATACTTGCACATGGCTAACCCACGCTACCAAATTGGGACACAGAAGGTGTTTTTTTACGTACAGTATCATAAATATCCCAAATTTCGGAGCTGTGAAGGTGATGCAGTGGTGAATTGAAGCCGACACCGAGTCGGGCAAACAGCAGAAACCACAACGGTTAAATATTAAACAAACAGAAAACATTCAAATCATAAAGACTAACCGCAAGTTAAACAGAAAATATTAAGCTAAAACGATGAGGTAGAAAAGAATTAGAAACTACGAAGATTAACCGTACATTAAACAAGAGAGACATTTAAAAAAAATAAAGATGAAATATAAATTCAGCGTTCGCCATCAGTCTTAAAAAACTATAAACCAAACAAGATTTAGAAACTGCAAAGATTAAACATAAATTAAACAGATTAACCCCCTATTACCATATTAATAGTGGGTTAACCCCCAAAAACACGCGAGAAAAAACGCTCAGAAACCGCGAAGACTGAACATCAATTCAAACAGGAAAAAAAAATCAATCGAATAAAACAAAAAAACCCCAATAAAACAGACAAACACCTCCCAGAGACTACGAGGATCGAACGGAACAATGTCGCAGCCAAAAAAAAAGGGCAGTTCAAAAAAAACACACACGAAGCGAAAAAAAATAAATTAGGAACCGCGGAAGATTGAGAACGTCAACTTAGAAACTACAAACAGCGGAACGAGTTTCAATTAGAAAAAAAAACGACCGACGAGGTTTAGCTACAGCGTCAATGTGCCCCTCCCCCCGGGCAGCGGGACATGTACCTGCTGCTCCCCGCGGGGCCCAGGCTCGGGGCCGCCCCTCATGTCGGCCTCGGAGCCCGAGTCGGACTCCAGCACCTCCCCGTCCTCCAGCGCCGCCGCCATCGCCGCCTCCAGAACCGGAAACACGCGCATCAGCCACGGAGGCGGGAAGGCAGGGCGCCGGAAGTGCCGCGGCGCGTCACAGCCGCTTGCCCCGCCCCCTCGTCAATCAACGGGCCGGCCGGGGTCCTGACGTCACAGCCAGCAGCCCCCGACGCCCTGAATTGTAATAATAATAATAATAATAATAATAATCCTTGCATTTGATATAGCGCTTTTCACGTCGGGAGGACGTCCCAAAGCGCTTCACAGAACACACTGTAAAGTGAATTGACTGTATATTTGTGGGCGAACACGGCAGCCAATTGCACACAGCAATGTCCCACAAACAGTCGTAGATTGAAAATGACCAATTTATTATTGTTTTTGGTTTTTTGGAGGGATTATTATTAGGCTCTGTGTGGAGTAAGGAAACTTGCCCAAGGTTTCGCCCTCTGCCTGGAATTGAACTCAGGTCTCTCACTTGCAAAGCGAGTGCTCTAACCACTGAGCTACAGGACTCCATTATTATTATATAATTATTATATTATTAATATTATTAATATTAATAATAAATAACAACAACAGCAACAACTGCAACAACAACAGACGAAACTCACAACCACTGAAGGTGCTGCAAATCTGAAATAAAAACAGAAGTCGGTCAGGCGGCGTCTCCGGGGGGAGGAGAGCGAGTCGACGTTTCGGGTCCACGACCCTTCGTCAGGACGTTGGGAGGGAGAGGCGTTTAAGGGCAGACAGAGAGGGGGGGGCAAGAGGGCAAAAGGACAAAATGGGGTAGAGGACAGGGGGTGATGGGTTACGGAGGTGTTCAGGATGTAAAACAAAAGGGGCGGGGGAGTGGGGGGGGGGGTTGCAACAAAATAGGCAGACCAGAGAGAAAAGGTGTGTCTGGGACCCAGATGATGTGGTAATGGTCACAGAAGAGGGGGAGGGGGAAGGTGAGCTGTTATGGTCCGACATTGTTGATATCAATATCGAGGCCAGAGGGCTGTAAGGTCCCCGGCAGATAAATGAGGCGCTGTTCCTCGAGCTTGTACTGTGGCTCATTGGAACAGTATAGGAGACCGTGGACGGCCACTTACGTTCTGGTCTCAATATTGATTTCAACAATTTCAGACCATAACGGCTCACCTTCCCCCTCCCCCTCTTCTGTGATCATTACCACATCATCTGGGTCCCAGACACACCTTTTCTCTCTCTGGTCTGACTATTTTGTTTGAATCCCCTCCACCCTTGGTTTTGCATTATTAACACCATCGGGCGCTGTGCCTTAGTCACTACGCCTCGAGGCTCTGGAACTCACTTCCTTCATCCTTCGCCTCGCCCCCTCTCTTCCTATATTCAGGGTTCAGCTGAAGGCCTTTCTTTTCGACCGCGCCTTTGGTCACCTTCCTCCCCCTCGCCCTGGCTCGGGATCCGTCACTGTGAAGCAGTCTGAGACTCTGTCTGGCGTGGAGGGCGCTATACATATCCAAGTTGTTGTATTCCCTGCTTTATTGCAATCCTCCCCTCCCCCCCTTTGTCTTGCATCATTAACACTTCTTTAACCCATCATCCCTTGTCCTCTACCCCATTTTCTCCTTTGTCTTCCTTGCCCTACCCCCCCCCCCCCCACTCTCCGTTAGCCCTTAAAAGCCTCTCCCTCCCAACATGCCCCAGTTCTGACAAAGGGTTGTGGACCTGAAACTTGGACTAACTTTCCTTTCTCCATAGATGCTGCCTGACCTGCCGAGAGTTCATAACGACTTCTGTTGTTGTCTCACTCTTAATAATAATTCTTCCATTATATATAGCGCCTTATCTTGTCGTTGAGACACCTCAAAACGCTTCACAGAATACACTGTAAAGTGAATTGACTGCATATTTTGTGGGCAAGACTCGGCCGCACGTTGCAGTGTCCCACAAACAGCCATGAAACGTTCGACAAATTTTTAACTTTATTTCTCCCGGGAAATTCACACACAGACCGGAAGGCTAAGACTTATAGAAGTGAATGCTCCACCATCCACAAGCTGCAGCTCATTCAAAACTCCACCGTTCGCATCCTCATCGGCACCAAACTCTACGATCCCATCACCCTAGTCTTCACGTGTCTGGCTCCCCTGGCTCACAGTAAATCGATTTCAAGGTCCTCAATCTCACCTAGAAATCCATCCTCTCGCTGCTACCTCCTCCACTTGCCTCTTCCGCTTAGTTAACTTGGACTTGCTTTATGTCCCCTAGCCTCTTTACACTAATGACTGAGGCTTTGTTTCCTACATTCCTAGTCTCTAGAACTCCTTCCCTCTACCACTCCAACTTGCCCACTCACTTTCTGTCTTCAAGTCTCATCTCAAAACCCTGTAAATGCCACCCCTCTCCACTTCCTTGCTCGGCATCGAAACCCATCTCTGTAAAAGTATCCCGAGACAGTAAGGACTATAAAAGGACTCGATGTAACTGCAAGTTGTTGCAACATGAGTTAATGGTAACAGGGTGGAAGGGGTAGAAATAAATAATAATAATCCCTGCATTTGATATCATGCCTTATCACGTCATTGAGGCAACTCAAAGCGTTTCACAAAATATATAAACAATAAAAACAACAACTTGCACTTATCTAGCACCCTCCATGTAGAGTAGCTAGTGTCTCAGAACAACCTGGCTATATGTAGGATTCACATATATTAGGAGTAAAGGACATTATATTAGAACCCAGTTATATACATTCACACCCCTTCTCCCTCTGCCATGGCTCCTGCCACATTCCCCCACTTCATACACTCCTTTGCCCCCATTTCTCCCTCCCTCTCAACCACAATCACCCGCATAAAGTTCACCACTCGCTGCCTCGACTCCCTCTCCACCCACCTGCCGGTCACTCAATTTCCCCTCCTCTTCCCCCTGCTGGCCGACAATGTCAACCAGTCTCTCTCCTCAGGCTCTGTTCCACGCCCCCGAAAACCGCTGTTAACACACCCCTCCTCAAAAAACCCACCCTCGATCCCTCTAATCTCTCACACTACCATCCCATTTCCAACCTACCCTTCCTTGCCAAAGTCCTGGAACGCATTATTGCAGGTCAACTTTGGTCACACCTCTCCCTCCACTCCCTTCTCGAGTTCCTGCAGTTTGTTTTTTGCCCTGTGCACAAGACAGAGACATCGCTTGTCAAAGTCACAAACAACATTCTCTCTATCTATGACCAGGGCTCCCTCTGCCTCCTCACCTTTATGGATCCCTCTGCTGCTTTCAACACAGTCAACCACGCAATCCTCCTCCATCGCCTCTTCTCCCTCATCCACCTTAGTGGTCCTACTTAACCAATCGCCTCCATTTCATCTCGGCAAATGGTTTCTCCTTTTGCCCCGGCCCGGTCACCTGCAGGGTATCCCAGGGCTCCATTCTTGGCCCCCTTCTTTTCCTAATCCGGGTGATGTCATCTGCAGACATGGGGTAAACGTCCACATGTCTGCGGATGACACACAAATCTACTTTGCCTCCTCCAGTACCAACTCCAGGTCCACCAATGTTCTATCAGCTTGTCTGGCAGACATCAGGGACTGGATGAGTGCAAACTTCTTGCAATTGAATGTGGACAAGACTGAAACCATACTCTTTGGCTCCCATTAACATCTTCACTCCTATGTATCTAGACTCCTCAACCTCTCTGGGCTCTCCCTCAGATTTACTGAACCAGTGCGCAATCTAGACATCCGGTTCGACCCCCAGCTGTCGTTCCTTCCCCACATCTGGTCCCTGAACAGGAATGCCTTCCTCTGCCTCCGCCCCATTGCCCACCTCCAACCGTACCTTACCCCAAATGCAGCCGAAGCCCTCGTGCATGTGTTTGTCACCTTCCCCCTGGATTATTCAAACACAGTTCCACTGTTCAAAAAATCCAGCTTTCAGAACTCCGCTGCACGCATACTTACCTGGACCAAACTCTGTACCCACGTCTCACCAGTTCTGGCCAGACTCCACTGGCTCTCCATTATCAAACGGATCGACTTCAAGATCCTCACACTTGTGTTCAAATCCATTCACTCCCTGGCACCTCCCTACCTCTCCGACCTCCTCGCTCCCCAATCCACCACCAGGCACCTCCGCTCAACTGGCACCAGCCTCCTGCTTGTCCCTTGAACCTTGCGCTCCACCATTAGTGTTCATGCTTTCAGGCACTACGTCCGGAAACTTTGGAAAACTCTTCCTCGATCCCTCCGCCTTGACCTTCTCTCCCCTCTTTCAAGTCCTGCCTTAAAACCTTCCTTTTCGACCATCCTTACGGCCACTTCCCCCCACCCAGCTCGGAGTCAGGCTCCTCCATTGTTAAGCGCTTGGTGGGCATTATAAAAGTGCAAGTTGTTGTTGTATATAATCAGTAATGCTCCTTTAGTGGCCAAACTTTATTTGTATATGGTTCCATTGGCTCCCCATCCTTCAGAGGATTCCAGTTCAAGATCCTGGTCCTCACCTACATTGGCGGGAGAGCCTTCAGCCACTCCGCCCCTCAACCTCTGGGATTCCACCCCCCCAGTCACTCCGCCTCGCCCCCTCCTCAGCCTCCTTCAAGTTCCGCCTCAAGACCCTCCTCTTCGACCGCGCCATCGGCCAACCCCCCCCACCCCCCCCCCCCTTCCTTCCCATCCCGCGACCCCACAGCTCGGGTCTGAAATGCCGTAACGCCGTCCGGCGCCTCGGGACGTCCTCCCGACGTGAAAGGCGCCGCACAAAAGTAATGTTGTGTTGCTGTTGTCTGAGGTCTGGGAAAGAGGAGTGTTTTGGGCCATGTGCCCGGGAGCTGTGGTTGGTTGTGATCCAGTGAGGGTTTGGAACAGCTCTATACCCTCTAACCTATGGCCTTCCAGGGGGCAGCGCCGGGGTTTACCAACCACAACGCAACGAGGTGGAGAATTCCCTTCCCCATCGCTCGGGCTCTGGCACTTCACTGCGTTGCATCCATGTTGCTGCAGCTCGTGTATCCGCTCGCCAGGGCTCTGCTGGGGAGGAGGACGAGGACCTTCTGCGCCTCCAGGCACTCGGCTGCCATGTCCACGTTGCTGATCCAGCAGCCCGGCTATGCCTGGCTCCGGGAGCTGGGGCTGAGGGAGGACAACCTGGGGGTCTTCAACGGGACCTGGGCTGGCAGAGGGGAGGTGAGGGCGGGGGGGGGGGGGGGGGGGGGGGGGGGGAGGGGGGGTGTGGGGGGGGGGAGGGGGTGTGGAGGGGGGAGGGTGTGTGTGGGGAAGGGGAGTGTGGCGGAGGGGTTGTGGGGAGGGGGTGTGGGGGGTGTGTGTGTGGGGGGGGGGGGAGGGTGGGGGGGGAGGAGGGGGGGGGAGGGGGGGGGTGGGGGGGGGGAGGGGGTGGGGGGGGAAGGGGAGTGTGGGGGAGGGGGTGTGGGGGGTGTGTGTGTGTGGGGGGGGGAGGGGGTGGTGGGGGGGGGTGTGGGGGGAGGGGGGTGTGGGGGGAGGGAGGCTTTCTGTTCAACTCTCGACCACGTCAAAGCTATTTATGGGCTGTGCTCAGCTGGGCTCTGGGCTGAGCTGAGGTGAGCTGAGCTGTGGGCTGGGCTCTGGGCTGTGGGCTGAGCTGGGCTGTGGGCTGAGCTGGGCTGAGCTGGGCTGTGGGCTGAGCTGGGCTGTGGGCTGAGCTGGGCTGAGCTGGGCTGTGGGCTGAGCTGGGCTGTGGGCTGAGCTGGGCTGTGGGCTGAGCTGGGCTGTGGGCTGAGCTGAGCTGGGCTGTGGGCTGAGCTGGGCTGAGCTGGGCTGTGGGCTGAGCTGGGCTGTGGGCTGAGCTGGGCTGTGGGCTGAGCTGGGCTGAGCTGGGCTGTGGGCTGAGCTGGGCTGTGGGCTGAGCTGGGCTGTGGGCTGAGCTGGGCTGTGGGCTGAGCTGTGGGCTGAGCTGGGCTGTGGGCTGGGCTGAGCTGGGCTGTGGGCTGGGCTGTGGGCTGAGCTGGGCTGTGGGCTGGGCTGTGGGCTGGGCTGGGCTGAGCTGGGCTGTGGGCTGAGCTGTGGGCTGTGGGCTGGGCTGAGCTGGGCTGTGGGCTGAGCTGGGCTGTGGGCTGAGCTGTGGGCTGTGGGGTGAGCTGGGCTGTGGGCTGAGCTGTGGGCTGAGCTGGGCTGTGGGCTGAGCTGAGGTGGGCTGAGCTGGGCTGTGGGCTGAGCTGGGCTCTGGGCTGTGGGCTGAGCTGGGCTGTGGGCTGAGCTGGGCTGAGCTGTGGGCTGGGCTGAGCTGGGCTGTGGGCTGAGCTGAGCTGGGCTGAGGTGGGCTGAGCTGGGCTGTGGGCTGAGCTGGGCTCTGGGCTGTGGGCTGAGCTGGGCTGTGGGCTGAGCTGGGCTGAGCTGTGGGCTGGGCTGAGCTGGGCTGTGGGCTGAGCTGAGCTGGGCTGAGGTGGGCTGAGCTGGGCTGTGGGCTGAGCTGGGCTCTGGGCTGAGCTGGGCTGTGGGCTGAGCTGGGCTCTGAGCTGGGCTGAGCTGGGCTGTGGGCTGAGCTGGGCTGGGCTGTGGGCTGAGCTGGGCTGTGGGCTGAGCTGGGCTGTGGGCTGAGCTGAGCTGTGGGCTGTGGGCTGGGCTGAGCTGGGCTGTGGGCTGAGCTGGGCTGTGGGCTGAGCTGGGCTGGGCGCTGGGCTGTGGGCTGAGCTGGGCTGTGGGCTGGGCTGGGCGCTGGGCTGTGGGCTGGGCTGTGGGCTGAGCTGGGCTGAGCTGGGCTGTGGGCTGAGCTGGGCTGTGGGCTGAGCTGGGCTGGGCTGAGCTGGGCTGTGGGCTGAGCTGGGCTGGGCTGAGTTGGAGGGGATCATTCCCTTTGGAAACCTGTTGCTGTCTCATTGCAGAGCAACGCGTAGGAGAACTCACTCTTTATTCGTTGCTGTTGCAAATGACCTGTCTGATTTGTGTACTTGCTTTCTCATTTGGTTACTTGGTCACTGAGATCGACCTCGATCAGACAGCTTTAAACAAAACAATAAGGTTTTAACCACTGAAAACTTTGACTTGGCATCCTGACACACACTGCTGGTGGTGATGATGTGACATGTTTACCCTGTATTGACCAGGTTCAGTCTGATCGTGTACAGTATCGACTGGTTTTGCTGGTGGGATTAAATGTGAAGGTTGCAATGTGAACTACAGTGTTAAACCTCCTGAGGTTACAGAATGAGGTTGGATTTGTTAGCATTCAAGTCGAGTTTGTGTCGTAACTTGTTGCTTGTTGTTTTGTAACTTGCCTTTGTTCAATCACAGACCAGTGCCACCTTTTTCCTAAACAAGTTCCGCAAACTTTTTGAGACAGAGAGAGAAACTATTTTTTACACACGTCTGTAGCATTTGATCCACTTTTAAAAGCAGTTATGTTCAGAACGTCCTAAGCATTTGTTTGTGAGTTCCTGACTAAGCCATAGCAGGAAAAAATCCAGGAGCCAAAGCAACACTGGTGAGAGCATTTAACAGCTGCAAAAGAACCATCCACTGGCATATAATAATAACAATGATTAATAATAATAATAATCCTTGCATTTGATATAGTGTTTTTCACGTCGGGAGGACGTCCCAAAACACTTCACAGAACACACTGTAAAGTGAATTGACTGTATATTTGTGGGCGAACGCAGCAGCCAATTGCGCACAGCAATGTCCCACAAACAGTCATAGATTGAAAATGACCAATTTATTATTGTTTTGTTTTGGAGGGATTATTATTAGGGGTGTGGAGTAAGGAAACTTGCCCAAAGTCTCGCCCTGCCTGGAATTGAACTCGGGTCTCTCACTTGCAAAGCGAGTGCTCTAACCACTGAGCTATAGGACTCCAATTATAGAGATTATAATTGATGTAGCTCCTATAATGTCAACCATTTCAAAGTTATTTACAGTAAGTATTGTTACATGTAGTTTGCGGCACTGCTTTAGCTACAGGCAAACCAGACAGCTGTCTCGGGCGCCGATAGCCAAAGACAGCAGATTTCTGGGAGAAGTGATTTAATGCTCCACTGGAGAAATTGAGACAGGTGGGGCCTGCAGTGAGTGAGCTGGCTACCGCGGATGGCAATTTAAAGCAAATTCATCTTTTAAATTAAAGCTAGAACTTCTAAGGGGGTGGCCCACTGAGGTTTTGCAGCAGATTGTCTTGAGGGGTTTCTGTTAGTTGTGTATTGTAGGTGAACAAAGCAGTCGGTTTGCATATAGCAAGGGCCAACAAACAGCCGTGAAACGAATAATCAATTTTATTTCAGGTGAATGTTAAAAATCCCATTGCCCTATTTCAGATATCAGGAAATTATCCAAGTGTGACCAATATTTCTTAGAAATTCACCAAAAAGATTATAAATTTGTATTTCTCATTCACATTTGTGGGATGTTGCTGGCATAGATTAGCTTCTCTATTTACCTACATAAAAAAATCACTGTATTGAAGTATAACTCATTGTGTGAATTGCCTTGACCTGGCTAGCCTCAAGGTGACATTATTGGCAATGGAAGATTGGGATGAGTCACCCGCTTGGTGGTCTCTAGTAGTCTGGTGTCTGATTCAGGTGGTCACAGTACTCCAGGGCATGGCTGATAAAAAAAACATCCTGCCTAGTTCATTGGTAGGACAGGCTCATCATGGGAGCGGGGTGAGGTAAGCAGCCTAAATCTTTACCCCCCCCCCCCCTTGCCACCCACCCCCAGCTTTGGTGCAAATATTGGACTATCCAGTGCCTTTGGATGACCTCCGATGTGAAAGACGTGACATAAATGTCAATGTTTATTGTATTGTAATGGCACTTTTCCAATAGGAGGTGTTGTTGATCCATATTAGGCCACCATTGCTTTTACACGTTCTCTGGACATTTGGGGGCAGCCTGCAGGGGATAACGTTCTGTGCATGTGGATATAAGGCTTGCGGGATCTGCCGTGAGAATTGTTTTTGTGATATCCGGTATCCATATAAAACCAGATGATTACTTCTAGCTTTTTTTTGTGATCCCGCTGTCTATAGGAGTGCATCTTTTTCATTTCCCACAACAGGCCACCTTTATGGTTCCTCTGAATGAAAGTTATTTAATTACAGCTCGTTCCAGGCTGCAGACTGCCCCAACCTATTGCATGTTCCACCATTAATGTCCTACGATGAAGAAAAAGGACTTTCATTCCATTGTCTGAGTTTCGTTGTCCAGCTCGCAGTGAAAGTATTTTAAATCTCTAGCATTGTTTTAGTTTTTCGTATGACATTTATGAATGTTATGTATTGTGTAATATTGCCAAAGCCTGTACATGACAAAGCTCTTCTGTTCTGCCTATAGATTGTCACCTCTTACTGCCCTTCAAACAATGAACCGATAGCACGAGTCAAACAGGTAATTGTTTTAATGTTCAGACTGTGTAGCTGTTAAAGTGAGCATTTTGTCACTTGCAACACATTTGCAGATGTTATGTTGAGCGTTACTCATGTGAATTGCCTTTGGTTTTCTATTGTTTATCTTCTAGGCCAGTTTAGAAGATTATGAGGAGACTGTGCAGAAAGCTAAAGAAGCCTGGAAAATATGGGCTGATGTGAGTGACCTTTGCAATAATTAGAAATTGCAGAAAATAGAACTTGAGTTAAAGATTCTCAATAAAATATTTTTGTGTAAATTGAGGACAAGATGGCTTAAGAGAAACCATTAATAAAATTTAGCGAAGTTAACCAGCTCATTAGGGCTGCCTAGATTAATTCATGATTCACTTAAATAGCTGTTTGTGTCGTTATCAAATTTTGCATAAAAAGAAACTAGACATGACATGTGACCAAATTATAGTGAAGCATATTGATACGTTTCGACACTATAGGTACTAAAAAAATGTAATGTTAATTCATTATATCCAGGCTCGACTATGTAAATCCCTGCTTGTCGGCCTCCCAACTCTTCCCTCCATAGGCTGCAGATCATCCAGAACTCTGCAGCCCGTGTCCTCTCCCGCACCAGACTCCGTGATCCTTTCACCCCGATCCTCGCCCGACTCCACTGGCATCACACAGAGAATATAGTTCAAGATCCTGGTCCTCACCTTCAAAGCCCTTCAAGGCCTCGCTCCCCCTATCTCTGTGACCTCCTAAACCCCTATCATCCTGCTCGCTCCCTCCGCTCAGCGGGCTCCAGCCTGCTTTATGTTCCCCGCCTCACGCACCCCTCCATTGGCGGGCAGGCCTTCAGGCACTTTGCCCCCACCCTCTGGAACTCCATCCCGCAGTCCCTGCACCTCGCCCCTCCCTTGCCTCCTTCAAGACCTGTCTCAAGACCCTCCTCTTCAACTGTGCTTTTGATCAACCTCCTTCTCCCCCTGCCCTCCACCCTCCCCAATCTCAACCCACAGATCAGGTCTGAAACACTATCCAGTGCCTTGGGATGTCCTCCCGACATGAAAGACGCGATACAAATGTAATTTTGTTGTTGTTGTAAGTTCTTTCTGTTTCTATGTGTGTCATCCTGGCTCAGTTGGTTGCATTTTCACTTTGAAGGTTGGGGAATCAAGGCCCACATCAGGACTTAGAACCCATACAGTCTAGGCTGACACTCAATGTGGTACTTGCTGGAGGTGGCATCCTTTCGATGAGACGTTAAATGAAGTTCTGTCTGCCTATTCAGATGAATGTTAAAGATACCAATCCACTATTCGAAAAGAGAAAGGGGTTTATCTCAACGTCCACGCCAATACTTCCTTAAATAGAATTGGTCACTCACTCCATGGCTGTTTGTGGGACATAGCAGTGTGCAAATTGGCTGCATATTTGCCCACAAAAAAACACAGACAGTTACCACACTTTATAGAAAATCCTGTGAAGCGCTTCGATGACATGATACGGCGCTATCTTAAATGCAAAAATTATTATTATTTGTCAACAAGACCCACACTGTTTTCCTAAATGTAATTGTATCAGTGGCATATTGTTTGTTGGGGACAGATTGTGCTTTGCTTGGATCTTAGGGAGGAGGGCAGTACAAACAATAACAATTCTCATTTTGTAGTTTGACTGATCATTTGAGGTTTTTCCTGCCAAAAACCTTTTATGTTCCATTTAGTTGTATTGGCAGAAACCTAGGTTTTGCAACAATGACCAAGCTATTTTGGAAAGGATTTTAAGGTCACTGGCAAGAGAACCTGAAATATATTAAATGTGTATGTGTTTGTTTTCATGTTTGATTAAACCAAGTAAAGCACTTTCAAATTATTCAGTGACCTATTAGCTATCTTCTGAACCTTAAACTGTGGGCCCAAAGTATAGAGGATGAAATAAAGGAAATGTGTTTTTTTTTAATTTTATTTAGATTCCAGCACCCAAACGTGGAGAAATTGTGAGACAAATTGGAGATGCTTTAAGAAAGAAGCTTAAAGTCCTGGGCAACTTGGTATGTCTTGTGGTTTCGAGCTATTCATTGATTGCTGTTGTAGAGGAACATTACGTTCTGTTCACGTTCTTACTTTACCAAACTGCTCGCGCTCGCCGCTTGGCAGGTACTGGCTCGCTTGATGTCCCCCGCTTTTCCCATCCCACCATCGGCGGGTCGGGCCTTCGGCCTTATTGCCTCCATGCTCTGGAACTCTTCATCTCACACCTTTCCTCGCCCCCTTTAAGGCGTGTCTCAACACCTTCCTATTTGACTGTGCCTTCGGTCATTTGTGTTTCAGTCAATGAAATGTTTGCTTTGCTCACAACTGGTCAGTATTGAAAGGGCACTTCGCAAATTAATGCTTGGCTGAATTGTAGCTAGGGGGGAAAGAAAAGGGGAAATAGGACCAAGTCACTTCTATCACTGCTACATTGCTAGTAGCTCCATATATTCCAACTTTAATTTACAATGCTGTTCAATGTATGGTTTAAATTTAGAGAGTAGAAACGTATTGATTACAGTCTTGAAAAGAGATATCCAAGAATGGACCTCATAGAGGTTATATAAGATATTAATTGGGGTTGAGAAAGGAAACTCAGAACAATATTTTCAGATGCACTGAGACAGGAGAACAAGACGATACAAGAGGTAACAGGTTTGGGGTTGTAAAGAGCAATTTCCAAACAGACACCGGGAAGTATTTCTTCAACTAGAGGGTAATTAATGATTGGAACGGTTTAGGCCAGGTGACTTAAAAAAAAGCTTGATGCTGCAATAGGAGTATGGGGGGGTGGGAAGTACTCTGCAAGGGTGAGATTTTCAAAACTGAGCTGATGAAGCCAACTCTCTCAATCTCCTCTTGACATATGGATGGTAGCATTTTGGCTGCCAGTTAGCAGGACGGTGCATTTACTGTTTTACTCGTGAGATTTTTTGGGGTTTAACTAAATACAGGATGTCTTTTGAAGCACTTTGAGATGTCTCAACGACAACATTATAAAATGCTATGTTAAATGTAAGGATTATTATTAATAATATATTATTTATTATTAATAATAATATAAAGGCATTTTTATATTGGCGCTGTGGGCACTAGAAATATGGAAGCGAGTCTGTCATTAGATTTCATGAGTGGTGATATTTTGTGCTCTGAACTGCACAGGCATCATTCTCTCCATCCCAACGGTTTGCTGAATTGACATTTTTTATCTCTCCATGCTTGTCTTAAGGTTTCTCTGGAGATGGGCAAGATTTCAATTGAGGGTGTAGGAGAGGTGCAGGAGTACATAGATATCTGTGACTACGCTGTGGGACTCTCTCGGATGTTTGGGGGGCCTATGCTGCCATCTGAGCGTAAGTAGAACAGGTTATTCTTGAATGCTGGACACTTCCTGCTTATCCCCATATGCTGCAGTGAAATCTCAATCTATGGATTGATATTCTGGTTTGTGCTAACCGTAACCCACAGATCAAACTCACAAGTTTGAAGAGGTCCTAGATTTCTTCACCTCAAAAATTGAAAACATTCGCTTGGCTGCATTGGCCTCCCTCCTCATGTCCCCTTCCACTCCACCCAGACCATCCAGACCACCTTCTCCCTCCGCCATGGATCCTGTCACTCCCCCCTCATTTCTCCCTCCTCTCTCTCAACCACAATCACCTGATGAAGTCCACCACCTGCTGCCACGATCCCTTCCCCACCCAGCTGTTGGCCACTCAACTCCCCCTCCTCTCCCCTACTGGCTGACACGGTCAACCATCTCTCTCCTCAAGCTCTGTTCCATTCCCTCTGAAAATCGCTGTTATCGCATCCCTCCTCAAAAAACTTGACCAACCACCTCCATTTCAATCAGCAAATGGATTCACTGAACCAATGCAAAATCTAAGCATCCGGTTCGACCCCCAGCTGTTCTTCCTCCCCCACATCCGGTCCCTGACCAGGACCGCCTTCGTTCACCTCCATCACATTGCCGCCTCCGACTGTACCTTACCCCAAATGCAGCTGAAACCCTTGTGCATGCGTTTGTCATCTCCCGCTTGGATTACTCCAACGTACTCCTCACCGGTCTCCCAGCTCCACTATTCACAAGATCCAGTTCATTCAGAAGTCTGCTGCCTACACTGACCTGGACCAAACTCCATACCCACATTTCACCAGTTCTGGCCAGGCTCCACTGGCTCCCCATTGCCAAATGGATCGACTTGAAGATCTTCACTCTCATGTTCAAATCCCTTCACTCTCTGGCACCTCCCTACCTCTCCGACTTCCTCACTCCCCAATCCAACAACCGGCGCATCCGCTCGACTGCTCGTTCCCAGCACCCTCTGCCTCACCGTCAGAGGTCGTACTTTCAGCCACTGTGCCCCAAAAGTCTGGACCACTCTTCCTCAATCCCTCTGCCTTGCCCCCTTTCTCCCCTCTTTCAAGTCCCACCTGAAAATGTTCCTCTTCGACTATGCTAACGGCCACCACTCCTGGCTCAGAGTCAATCTCCACCACGGTTAAGCACTCTGAGATGCTACCCCACGTGGAGGACGCTACATAAGTGCAAGTTGTTGTTGATGAACGCGATATCTTTGGCATTGTTAGTCGCTGATGGGCATTCCTCTTATATCACATAAGGTTGATTAGAATTCCAACCCACGTATTCCTCCTGGATATGAATTACACAACAGAATGCTCTCTGTAATTAGAATTAGATTTGCAATTTAACGTGTGAGTTGACGAGAGTCGCTGGACTGGAATATGGATAAACACATAATGTGTAGGTGCTATTCCAGATCCGGAACGTTAGAGCAGTGACCTCTCTTACAAATATTACAACATTTCCCTTTTACAGTACAATGCAGCCCTGTTATAACCTACTTCTTTATAATTGGAATTTTAACGGCTGTAACGCAGTTGCACTGTGGGATAGAGCACCTGAGCTGGGGGTGTGTGCAAAAGCTCTGCTAAAATGTCTGACTTTCAGGTTATTTCCATCCTTTGCAGCAATTTGGAAGTGACATTTATTGTGACCTGATGACCCAGACATTGGCAATTTTTCTTTTAGTGCTGGAACCAGCCTGGGTGCAGGGAGCAAGTTAACTGGATACATCCATGCACATTGTGACCGGCTATTGCTCCTCACTGTAGCGCAAATTAGGGTTTTATGGATTTTCAACTACTGCATTCTAACAGGACTCCAGTTTATTTTGGCTTATCGACAGGCGGAACAACCTAATGTTTATCTAGAGTTTTTAAGTGAGATTAAGAGAAACAATCTGTTGAGTGGACACAGAGTGAAGAGACTGAGAATGTCATTTCAATTGAAACTTAACGTCCATCCACTCCTTCCCAGGCCCTGGCCATGCTCTCATAGAACAGTGGAATCCACTTGGCCTTGTGGGAATCATCACTGCGTTCAACTTCCCTGTGGCGGTTTATGGCTGGAATAACGCTCTTGCACTCGTCTGTGGGAACTGTTGCCTTTGGTAAGCAAATATGCGAGCAATCACTTTCATTCCATTCTGCGTTTATTCTGGGGATTGGGGCTTGGTGTATATAATCGGCTGCATTGTGACGATTGATGGGGAGGGGCTGGAGCAGTGTGTTACTGTCAAATCCAACCAGTAATGAATGGGTGAAAATCCCATCTCGCCTCCCTTATCGTCCCGGTTAACTGCAACAAAAACAAATTACACTTGTATAGCATCCTTCACATCAGAAAGATGTCCCCTGCAACCGTGCAGAGTTAGCAGTTTGAGCTACATTTGTATAGTTTACAAAGATTCAAGGTTCGATTGCCTTTACTACTTTAATGTTAAAGGAGTAGCTACATTTCCGTTGGCATTTGATTCTGTTAGTTGGAAATACTGTTATTTCCCAAACTCTCAAAGTTTGAGGATATCGTAAAACCTGCTGCAAAGTAACCTTGAAAATTGGGCCGCTTTTGCAAGGGACTGATGGCCTCACTGTCATGTCTACAAAGTATAAACCTGTCTCCATAAATGGACACAGTGACCCGGGGGTCAGCTTTCTGGGTTTTTGAGGACGTTTTAATTTAAATGTATTACTTACATTGCATTGCTTAAATCTGTGCTGCTTGCTTAAAATCAATCCCATTATAAAGATGTAGGGAAAAAGATTGCTATAATTGATGATCATTGTAAAAATATACTTCTCTGTTAGTCATAAATGGGAAGTGTATGCAGGCCAGGATGGTCCAATAGTATCCGGCCGGGGGCATGATTTCACCCGGCCCGCTGAACATTCTGTCTGTCAACTCTCTGGGTTTTCCCCATAGACTACGGGTTTTAAGGTCCATCTACAGGTAAAGCTCCACAGTCTATGGGGCAGAGATCACATTAGTTTTTTTCAGGCGAGATGAGTGCTTATGCGGGTCTGAACCGTGATTTGAATGAAAGCGCGAATCATGTTTTTTTACCTAATATTGCACCAATTCAAGCTGCACATTAAAAGTCCTTATCTATTAAGTTTTAAAATTTGTATGAATATTTAAACTGCCGATTTAAATTTAGCATTGCAACTAAAATACAATGAAATTGAGAAGGATTTCTATGTGATTCTGTGCTAATATACTTTGCTCTTGAACCCTTTGTGTGTGAGTATTTGCCTAGCTTGGAGGTCTGGGTTCCAATAGACACACACATACTGATCGCACAGAGTGGTGCGGCTGAAGTTGGTAGCTCCAGAAGTTTGTGGAGTCCTGTAGCGCAGTGGTTAGAGCACTTGCCGCACAAGCGAGAGACCTGGGTTCAATTCCTGGCAGGGTGACATGTTGGGTAAGTTTCTTTACTCCACACTCCTCTGTTTACCTAGCAATAAGCAGGAATCCAGTTGTTAGTTAATCGCTTTTCTGGGGGTAATACTTCCTTCAAAAAAAAATTGGTCACTCATTCTACAATTTTTTCTGTGGGACACTGCTATGTCCGATTGGTGACCTTGTGATGCCCACAAAGTATAATTCACTTTACAGTATTTTCTGTGAAGAGCTTTGAAACATCTTGAAGCCTTGATAAAGCAAATGCCAGGATTATTATTATAATAAGTTGGTGCTTCAACAACAGATTGTATTTATATAGGGCTCTCCACGCAGGGTAGCGTCTCAGAGCGCTTAACAGTGGTGAGGCAGGAGGCGGGTGGGGAGGTGGCCGTAAGCACGGTTGAAGAGGAAGGTTTTCAGGCGGGACTTGGAAAAGGGGAGAGAGGGGAAAAGGCAGAGAGACTGTGAGTGAGCGTTCCAGAGTTTCGGGGTGTAGTGGCTGAAAGTGTGACCTCCGATGGTGGGAGGGTGCGAGGGATGAGCAGGAGGCAAAGAGGCTTCAGTGCTCTCTATGATCCTCCCATGGAGCAGTTAATAAACCACAGAATTTCTCTGTGTGAGAAAAGATAACTTACCTTTATATTTTGCATTCACAGGAAAGGGGCTCCTACTACACCTCTGACCAGCGTTGCAGTCACACAGTATGATTTTCTTTCCATTTCAGATTTGCTTCTTCCTAGGTCAAACTAATCATTGTTTAATCTGGGGGCGGGGGGGCATTCTGTCTTATAAAAGCATTCTTAAAATATTTTCTTTGAAGACCTCCCTTTGGAGCAAGTTTAAGAGCAAAATGTGGGTGTGGGTGATTTTTTATTCCCCCTCAGAAATCCTTAATAAACTTCAATGCACCTTTCATAACTAATGCAGCAAACAACAACAAAAAAATCCATGTGTATAACTGTTTGATTTGAATATATTTATGCACAGTTTCCGCTTGCATCTCACCCTGATCTAACTCAAAAAAAACTTTATAGCATTTTCCTTTTAGAACGTGAATGGAGTGTGGATCACCAAGGCACTTTTTTCCCTTTGTTTTCCAGAATCATTGCAAAAGTTTTAGAAGACAACAAACTACCAGGTGCTATTTGTTCCCTAACCTGTGCCGGAGCTGATGTTGGGTAAGTGCACAAGAGGACTATAATAGGCTGATCCCAGAGATCATACGGTATAAATGGCCATTAGGAGCATGTGAATTGACCACCATCCCAGTCACCAGTCCAATACAACTTCAGGGTCTTCAAATATAAAATTGCACCCAGGTATCATTTTAATCCTTTGTGCCTAGAATATATGAAATGTCATTTAAGCTTAGCTTGTGGCATCATTTTGTCTTTAAAATTTAAGATCATCGTGCAGATTGTGGAAATTCAGTCTAAATTTGCAACTTGATTTTCTGCAGTTCTGAAAAAGAACTGAATTCAGACAGTCTCCAAATTAAGACCGAAATTAAGAATATTCTACAGTTGTGCACAATCTTAAATATTAAGATAAAATGGTCTTACAAATGGATAAATTGCAGGCCTCTGAGCATTTAAATCTTAACTGAGCATTTTTAGTGAACCTTTAATAAAGACATGTTAAAAATCTACAATTTAAGAAATACGGAGGGCAGCACTGATAATGTAGTGGACGGAATTGCAGCTTACACATCAGGAACTTGCTGGTTTGAATCCTGGTCTCTGCTGAGTTAGCTGGTTTCCGCTGGGACTGATTGAGGAGGTTAGATTGACCCCAGCCTTCCCAGGATTATGGAGGGGAAAACCAGCCTGGGATCACTGCTCCCAGTTCCTCTAAAACACCCTTTAATGGTTGTGTATGTTTGTGGTAGCTGAGTGGGCAGTAGTCGGGCTGACACTTACTGAAAGGTTCATAAATGAACACACATGCTTAGGACGCAGAAAGTGATGTCAGAGACAAACCTGATAATCCAGAGCCAGCTTTTGCAACCTTGGACTTTATGCATCCCAACCACTGCATTGCAGCGTTACTGTGTTCTTTGACCGATCCTGTCCTCAGTTCATGAGGACATATTCTTGCAAACCCCACCTGACAATGTAATTATGTGAAATCATTATAACCCAGCGCCTTGGGACGTCCTCCCAACCTGAAAGGTGCTATACAAATGTAATTTTGTATTTTATTGTAGTATGGTAGCACATAGTACCCAACAGTTGGTTACGTTCTTCAGCTACTCTTCCCTTTTGCAAAATGTTTCAGAATAGTGATTCAGCAGATGGCTTTCTCATTCTAAAATGAGGAAAACATTAAGGTTTTGTTTGTGAGTACTCAATTTTGTGGAATATCACTATGCGCAAATTAGTTGCTGCATTCGGCCACAAATACAGTCACTCCACTTCACAGTATATCCTGTGAAGCGCTTTGGGATATCCTCCTGACAAAAAAGACATTGTACCAAATGCAAGCATTACTTTTTTTTCCCCCAAAACCCAATTAGTCCCAACTCTGTGGACTTTTAGATACATGTAAAATGTTCTCAAAGAATTTCCTTGCTTCTCTGAGGGTGGTCTGGGTTTTTCTCTCAGTGCTGCGATGAGCAAAGACGAGAGGCTGGACCTGCTCTCCTTCACTGGCAGCACCAATGTGGGAAATCAAGTAGCTGTAGACATTCAAAAGCGATTTGGTAAGTGTGTGTACCACTCAAACAGACCAATATTAACTGACTTTGCCATGTGTTTTTTAAAGAAATGGTAGTTCAGAACATAACTGGTATGTGAAGAGTGAAACTTGTAAAAAAAAATTGCAGCTTAATGTTGGAATGTTTTGATACTTAATCTTTTTTTTAAATGAAAATCGCTTAAAAGATCTGCATTTTTTCCCCTTCTCTTAGGACGAAAGCTTCTGGAGCTTGGTGGGAACAATGCAATCATTGGTAATGTATCTGTGCTGAAGTGTAGCCTTGGCACACGAGGCTACTTTTACTAGAAATGCTCGGTTTTCATTCTCTTTGTGTAATGATCCTTTATTCACTACATCCTCCCTCCTCTGCACCAATGGAATGTATCCACAGCAAAAGCTGTCATGTTGTCAGCCGGTAGGAGGTAGGTATGAGCAACCTGATGTTTTGCTTAAGTTAAGATGACTAAATGTTGGCAGTGCTTCTATTTCCCTTTTAATAATATATTAATAATCTTTGCATTTGATATAGCACCTTATCAAGTCTTTGAGACATCTCAAAGTACTTCACAGAATATATTGTGAAGTGAATTGACTGTATATTTTGTTAGTTAGGTGTTAGGAATCTGCTGGGTGGAGCGACGTGAGCATAACCTACAGTTAATGTTCCAGATCAAAGATAAAAAGGTTGCATGTTTCTGTGGCTGCAATGATGTGAGACACACTCAGAACAATCATTGTAAGATAAACAAATTGCCGGTCCCAGAATCAGAAGTGATGCCCTGATTACGTTGTGATGTGGGACATCCAGTGTCGATCTGGTTTGAGGTTCATGAGTATGAGGTAATTCACATGAGTTTGTCTTGACAATAATTACCGTACTCTGAGATTTCGAATTATGAGACACTATCAAAATTCTCTGCGGTCTCCAGTGGAATTTACAAATTTAAGTTTGGCTTCCTGCCACTAATCATGTTAGTGCTGGGAGCTGTAAAGAGTCTTGGAATGTCATTTTTTGTTTGTTTTGTGGTCAGCTGGGTGTCTGACACATGCGGAAACCCATCACCACACAAGAGTATCCAAACCAAGTTGAGATCTCCAAGCCTCCCACTTACACATGGAAATCTCAGATATAGATTGTTGGAATGGAAGGCAGAGTGTGTGTTGGGGTACTGCTGGAGTCTAACCAACTAAAACCGCATAGCTTGCCAGTGATATTACTGTACATCAAACTATCCCGCTGCTTGTCCAGCTACGACCACCCTGCCCGGTAGGGCTTTGGCTTGCAGGGTTAACAGGAGCTGAGGGGGATGATTCCCTGCCCCCAGTGACTGATCTGCCTTTCCAGGTCCTGCCGATGACCCAGACTGGCTGTGCTGTCATCAGCAGTGCCCTGGAATATTGCAGACGCCTGGCTCAGGAACCAGACTACTGAGACCATCACAGAGGGCTGGCTCGATTCCGATATTCCATTACCAGGCATGTCATCTCGGAGCCAGTTCAGCCGCTTACCTCCTCCCCCAAGGAGGATAGTCATTGGTTGGCCATTTGACATTCAACAAGTGCGGGATTAACCGGGGCACAAGATCAGACCTTTTCGTTTGAATTGGTTTTGGCCATTTTTTATCTACACAGGGAAGATTTGTGTGGCTGACACAATCTGTTACTGTGTTTGTGCAGACTTCCTTCAGTAACACAGCAAAGATTGTCAACGTGTCCAGATATCATAATTCAGCTCTGAAACAGGTGAATGAAGGACTGCCAAAGAAAATCATGCTCTGTGCACGTATGAAGTTGTGTGCATGCATGGTTATTAAGGACACTATTTAGCCACTCTAAGTGTCTTTCTTAGAAACCACACACATGCACTCAACAGGACTTTCCCCCAATGGCACAAATGGCAGTCTTACAAATGTGTTATACTGCAATTTTCTAGGATGAGAATGAGAAAGAGAGAGCGAGCGCAAGAGACTTGGAAAGAGAGAAGAAAAAAAATTTGCGCGTCACCTTCTTACCTGTTTACACTCTACCACACAGCTAACACTGCAGATACTTTATCCAGACCTTCATTCACAAACCTCTGCATATTCAGGACTCAGTGGCTTGAGTCAAGTTTTGTTCTCTCACGATTCTCATCTTTTCCAAGTGCCAAAGATTTCATGATTCTCATGTTCAGATCCCTCTACGGCTTTACTGCATCGTAATTGTTTTATGATCAGTCACATTCCCACTGAAAATATTTGTTTCTAAAATAGTGACAATAGCACATGAAACAGCCCTAAATCCTGTTTGCTCTTCTGACTGAAGCCCTCTTCTTTGTACTGTGCATTACCCTCTCTCTCGTTGGAGGCCAAATTTTGGCTGTCACAGCCCTGTCTCTGGAACTCTTCCACAACAACTCACTTTGCTGCCTGCCTTCTCTGCTTTCAGGGATATCCTAAAACAAACTGTTATAAAAGCATATACATGTGAGTGAGTAAGTAAAGTCTGCAGTGCCCTGTGTATGCCTTGTGTAACATTGTTACGAAGGAATTACAGATCACCTTAATTATTTGATTCAGAATGAAAGAATAGAATTCATTAATTATAACAATTAGCAGCAAATCGTATGAATGAATGGAAAGGATTTACACGTGGTATATAACGCAGGTTTATTTACACATGGCGTATAAAAGATCCCAATGCTACCTAAAGAATGAACAGCAATATAGAGGGGAAAGAGTAGATGTTAAGCAGAACAATTTTCTGTGTCAAGCATTTGCTATTTATTTCAAACTTTATCTTTAAACGACAGTCATTTGATTATATTCCTACAGTCACTTGAGTAGCACTGTCACGTCCAAGTTTAATAGATTTGCAAAGTGCATGAGTGCCATCTTGTGGTTTAATGTAAGTACAGCAGACGCCCAATCCTGAAATGCATCAGATTGGATCTGTGGATGTTTTTGTCTGATAATTCAACTTGGTCACACAAAATCAGTCACACGATCACAAATGATCAGTCACACAATCCCACTGCAAATATTTGTTTCTAAAATGGTGACAACAGCCCACAATTGATTTTTGTGGGAGATGCAAACCGTATAATTCACAATAATTTATTGTATCTAAGATCCTGGTTTCAGATTATTTTGTGCTTCGTTTTACCTGAAAAATAATTTGTGGAATAGACTGATATGGTCTGAATTGTAAGAAACAGTAAGGAATTCCTGTCTAAGACCAACATAAAATTAGGATAAAGAAATGTACATCAGATTGAACAACCCCATCTGTCTCCCTACTATTTTCTTCTATGTTCCTTACTCCAGAAATGGTTGATCCTGTTTGTGCCTTTCAGTTCAGAGTTCTCCAACAGTAACATATTCCACAAGTCTATTACTTTAGGATGAACTTTCACCTGACTTTTACTCTGTTTCTATAGTAGCCACACACTCGGTTGACGATTTCCTAGATTGACCCCCTTGGATAACTTTCCTGATTGGAAACTGTACAGTTTCACACATGCTATTTGTCTTTTGGTTCTGTATTACACTGTCTGCATTGAACTGCACTTGTTACCTTGTGTGGCCCCTTCCTTTAAATTCTAAATCCTTCTGAATCTGGGCCCATTGTCTCTCGCTATTTGTCTTCTCTTTTGGTGTCAGGCAAACTTTTGAAGATTTTGCTCATGACATGGTGCACACTTATTTTCTGGGGTTATTAATCCCTTAAAAAAAGAAAAATGCAGTCACTCAATCCAATGCTGCGTTTTAGCCAGAAAATATAGTCGATTGATTTATTTTAGAGTATATTCTGTGAAGCACTTTGAGACGTCCCGTACCCTGATAAGGTGCTATATCAAATGAAAGATTATTATTATTATTATTGCCAAAGTTGCGATTCAGCTCATTTTTCTGTCTGAACTTTGCTCAATGTTTGGGCTTTGCTCAGTGTATGATCCACAGGCCAGGAAGGGGTATTCACTCTTGACTGGTCCATACACGCAGGTTGAGCTGACAGTCTGTCCACGGATAGGAAGTAATAGCAAGGAAAGCAATATCTAGATATGATTGTTATTTCCTTGAGATATCCCGCATGGCTAAGACAGATTTATGATACTTTTGTTGTGCAATTCCTTGAGTTTTTAACTTAAATTGCAATGTATTTTAATTTGCTGCAGTCTCTGAAATGACCTTTCTTGTAAGAACAAGGCACTAATACAGCTGAAGTTTAATTTTAAAATTTTTTAATCTCATAAATTTCCCTCCCAGCTCATCTTTTCCGAAGGAGTTGTTGCTTTGCTGAGTTCCACCAGCGCATTCGCTCTCCGATACCTCTCAGGTGGTCATTATTCACGTATGAGCTGTGACCGTGATTGTCTGCAGGCCATTCAATCCTGGACATCACCACTGTCCCTGAGTCTATCCCTGTGTCCAGTTACTATAGACACCTTTCAGGGTCAATAGATGGATAATAGAGAGTGGAAACACTGCCTGGACTCTCAAAATTGTTTTATAATAATAATAATAATTCTTGCATTTGATGTAAAGCCTTATCCCATCGTTGAGACGTTTCAAAAACGCTTCACAGAATATATTGTAAAACAATTGACTCTGTATTTTGTGGGCGAAATGCGGCAGCCAATTGTGTACAGCCGTGTCCCACAAACAGTTATGGATTGAGTGATCAATATTTTTTTTTGGAGGAATTATTAACCGCAGAAAGTTAATAACAACCTGGTTCTTACTTGCTGCTAGATAAACAGAGGACTGTGAAATAAGGAAACTTGTCTAAGGTTTCACCCTGCCTGGGAATCAAATCCGGGTGCTCTTGCTTGTGAGGCGAGCCCACTAACCACTATAATAATAATAATAATAATAGCAATAATAATAATGCATTTGATAAAGTACCTCATCACATCTTTGAGATGTCTCAAAGCGCTTCACAGAACATACTGTAAAGTGAATTGGCTGTATACTGTGTGGGCAAAATGTGCCCAGCAGTGTCCCACAAACAGTTGTAGATTGAATGCTACAGGACTCCACACCTTTTCCTTTTGAACCACCGTTCATTCCTGTCCTTGACAGGCCAAACAAGTGAATGCTCTCTGTGGTCTGAATGGACCCCCTCCTTCCCAAGTGAGCACGGTCAGGCTAGTCATAAGATCCCAAGTATTAAATAAAAATAGAAATTGCTCATTCACTTCATGGTTGTTTGTAACATATTGCTATGTGCACATTGACTGCTGCTTGCACTACAACATACACACAGTCACTACACTTTACAGTTGAAACATCCTCCCAACCTGATATGACTATATTAAATGCAAAGATTATTATTTATTATTTATTTACTGAGCCTTAAATCTGCAATAGGGAGCCAGTGCAGCCCGGCAAACACGGGGATGCAGAGTTTAGTAATGATAAGGATACAGGTGGTAGAATTTTGAGTTAATTGGATTTTATGAATGGGGGAGCTGGGGAGACTGGCCAGGAGGGTATTGGTAAAATGAAGGCAGGAGGTGACTAATGTGTGGATAAGTTGATCCAGAGATGCTGGATGTGAGGTAAGGTTGAAGATGGACAAAGATGGAGGAAAGTGGTCCTGGTCAGGGACAGGGTGTGGGGTAGGAAGGATGGCTGGGTATCAAACCTGATGCCCGGGTTGCGCACCGGTTTAGTAAGTCTGAATCAAAAGCCGGGAGGTTAAGGATGAAATCCTGTTGGTTTGTGAATGGCTCTGAACATGTCACTTCCCTGCCTCTCTCTGACTGGTTGTACAAATGTAAGTTGTTGTTGTTGACTCTCCACCTGGAGTTTGACGGCTGCTCTTTGACTCCCGGCAGTGTTTGATGATGCTGATCTAAACATGGTGGTTCCGTCCGTCCTGTTTGCTGCTGTGGGCACTGCGGGACAGAGATGCACAACCACCAGACGCCTGGTAAGCCACGCTGTCACGGTGCAACTTGATTCTCAGTAACCGTCTGCTAGGCTGCAATTTTTTTTAGAAAAGACTTTCTTGTATCAAAGCTGTTAAACCTTGCGAAATATTACAAATCAACTGCTTTTTGAAGCCTTTCTCTTTCCTGCTCTGTAGCTATTGCACGAGAGTGTTCACGATGAAGTGGTCACGAGACTCACCAAGGCTTACAAACAGATCCGCGTCGGAGATCCTTTGGAATGTAAGTCTTAAAAACATTGTGGAAATTCACGTGTTGCGTTGTTCATACACTGTTCATGTGTCAGCCGGAGATCTGAAAGCACCATTCTCCTCTTACATTTGCTTAGATTTTCCTCCAACATATTGAGGTTGGCCAGTGTCTATCTGGTTAAATCTTATGCTTGGATGTCATTACATTTGAGGGAAAAATCATGAAAGCTATGTGTTTACTTTTTGCTTTTTAAATAAATTAGAAGGAACCAATTTGACTCGCCAGATTGAGGACATACTTACATCTCCAAGTCTCAATATCGAGGCAGACTGATCGGTCAGTCATCAACAATGCATCTGATCACTGCGGCACTGCCTGGGTTTGAAAGCACCCTACCCCTCCCCCCCCCCCCCCCCCCCCGATCGTTTCAGCCTGAGAGAGTCTATTTTCCTCCAATCCTGATGGATGATATATATAAAGACAGGACTCGATTTATCAACTTTGAGAGGGTTAATAATCTACCAAGCTGAATTAGTTTACCAGGGTACAAACCTGGTTAATTAGCTTGTCTATGAAGCGTGGAGAATGTTTTTAACAACTATTTAATTGCACTCTTCTTTGTGTAAGTCCAGTAAAACACAATTTTTTTCTCTGTCAGCTAATACTTTATACGGTCCCCTCCACACCAAGCAGTCTGTGGACATGTATTTGGCTGCAGTTGGACAGGCCAAACAGCAAGGTGGTAACGTGGTTTGTGGTGGAAAGGTAAGGTGTCTAATTTTATTTTTGTTAAAGAGAAAATGCTGCCTTGATTCACGGAAGACTCCAATAACTTTTGTATATTTTACGACCATTTTAAGATCAGTGCCTGTGCGGTTTGTTGTATCTACAACTATCAGTCAAAATGTTCACAGCAAATAAGAAATTGAGAGAAGGAATTAACTGTGTGTACGTAAAGTGCTCTGGTGTGTATAAAGCGCTGTGACATGAATCAACATGAAATCTATCTGAAGCTTGCTTGACTGCCTTTGGGTGTCAGGGAGGAACTTTTTGGGTGTATTTTTTCCTCCATATTGGCCGTCTTTTATTTTTTCTGTTTTTATATCTCCTCAAGGAGGGGATTGAGTGGTTAGAGCCAGAAGCAATGTGTGGTTTTGTATTGTGAAATAGGGAGAGATTTTTAATCTGCCTCTAGGACTTCTTTTCACTCGCTCTGTAAAGCTGTGGCATTGGTTGCATTGCAATAACAGGTCCTTTTTTGAGGAGGTCACTAAGTTTAGAAGGTTGAGGGGTGATTTGATTGAGGTATTTAAGGTATTAAGGGATTTGATAGCATGGGTTTGCGAAGGGAAGGTTGTGTCTGACTAATCTAGTTGAATTTTTTGAAGAGAGTACTAAAATGGTGGATAAGAGAGTGTCTATGGATGTCGTTTAGATGGACTTTCAGAAGGCATTTGATAAGGTTCCACACAAAAGATTATTAGAGAAAATGGAAGCGCATGGAGTCGGAGGTAACCTTGTGACGTGGCTTGGTAACTGGTTGGGAGACAGGAAACAGAGAGTAGGGATAAAGGGAACGTTCTCTGATTGTTGGGACATGACAAGTGGTGTCCCCCAGGGGTCTGTACTGGGACTCCAGCTATTTGCCATATATAAACGTCTTGGATGAAGGAATAGAAAGTTTTCCTATCCAAGTTTGCAGACGACACTAAGCTAGGAGGCTCAGTAAGATGTGTAGATGGAAGTGGGAAGTTACAAAGGGATTTAGACAGATTAAGTGAGTGGGCAAAGCTGTGGCAGGTGGAGTTCAATGTAGGGAAGTGTGAGGTCATCCACTATGGACCGAAAAAAGATGAAGCAGAATATTTTCGTAATGGGGAGAAATTAAGATCTGTGGAGGAGCAAACAGATTTGGGTGTCCACATCCACAAATCGCTGAAATCTAGTTCCCGGGTGTAAAAAGTAATCAAAAAGGCAAATGGAATGTTGTCCTGTATCTCAAGGGGCCTGGAAGATAAAGGGGAAGAAATAATACTTCAGCTGTATAGAGCGTTAGTCAGACCCCATCTGGAGACTGTATTCAGCTTTGGGCACCACACCTCAGGAAAGATATATTGGCCCTGGAGTGGGTGCAGCGCAGGTTCACCAGAATGTTACCAGGCCTAAAAGGGTTAAGTTACAAGGAAAGGCTGCATAAACATGGATTGTATTCCCTTGAGTTTAGAAGGTTGAGGGATATGGGGCGAAAGCAGGATATTGGAATTGAAAGATTAGTTGAGGTACAGATCAACCATGATCTAATTAAATGTCGGAACAGGCTCGAAGTGCTGAATGGCCTACTCCTGTTCCTATATTCCTATGTTCCTATATTCCTGTGTTCCTATGTCACAGAGTTCGATGACTTGCTAGGGGAACCTGTCACTGCAATACTCACTGATGAGGAATATGGAACAGTATAGGCTGGAAGAATCCTAGATGATACGAGTACTGCCCTAGGAAGAAGGTGTGTCAGAATATCTCTGGGAACAAGCTCTCCTTGGTTTTTGAAGTTGTCCGTTGCTATATTGGTCAACCTGGTCCAGATTCCCACCGAGGGGGAGAAACCAGTGGGAAGATTTGGTTTGGGGGCATTTTGAGTTTATGTTGTGCAGCAGAGTTATAAGGCCAAAGGAAGAATGCCTAATGATGGACTCTTGTCTTGTAATAGGTGATCAATCGTCCAGGAAACTATGTGGAGCCAACCATTGTAACCGGCCTTGCCCACAATGCAGCCATCGTTCACACTGAAACATTCGCTCCCATTCTGTATGTGCTTAAATTCAAGGTAAAGCAGATTTCTTACCTCAACATGGCTAAAAATACAGGATGGTGAATCTTGAGCCCTTTAAAACCTCATTTAATCTTGTACAGCTCAATGTTGGGCATGTAATCCCTATTGTTTCAAGTGAACAAACAGTTCCTTATTTGCAATTCTATGTTTCTGCTGTTATGATTTTGCCTAGTATTTTTAGCGAGTACGTTTTTGAGTGCTTAGCTTAAGGCTTGCTCACTTATGCAGAGGAGCTGTTGTCTGTTTGAAGTGTTGCCTGTTTGCCGTTAATTTTCTGTGTGTTGCATAACTACTCTTTGATGTTTTAAACCTTTTAACACAGTTATTCTCTTGCAGTCTGAGGAGGAAGCATTCGCCTGGAACAATGAGGTCAAGCAGGGGCTTTCCAGCAGCATCTTCACCAAGGACGTGGGTCGCATGTTCCGTTGGATGGGGTACCAGCCTGACTTTATCTTTCTATTTTAAGAAAATTCTGTTTGAATATGGTCATGGGTAGGACTCAACTGATCACCTTAGTTGTTCTGTTAGCATAATTTACTTGCCAGCCGCCTCTCAGCTTTCACCACTCTCCTCTCGTTCCCTCCGCACACAGACATAGTTCTGAGAGCTTTCACCTCTATGTGTTGAAGGTTGACTCATTTATCAAAAGAGGTGCTTTTCTGTACTTTTTGTAAGAGATGTTTTGAAATTGTATTCAGTATCACAAGGCCAGGCTACAGTGCAATCAATTTGAAAAGGGAGCTTTTAAGACTCGCAGTAATTTTAAAGTCCCCTCTCATTCCTTCGATTTGTTGCTGTTTTTGTTGCTCGGCTGGTTCGATTGATAAACTTGTTTTCTTGTTCAGACCCAAAGGTTCAGATTGTGGAATTGTTAACGTAAACATCCCGACCAGTGGTGCTGAAATCGGAGGAGCTTTTGGTACGTAATCAATGGTTTGTGTTTGTGTCTCACATGTGCTTTGCTATACTCGCAAGCACAAGCTCTTACAATACTTATTTTTGTTCTGTTCCCCGAATTTAGATCTCCACAAATTTTGTCTGGTATGAGGCTACATCTGAAACTGGTTTTAAGTTCTTTGGGAGAAATTCCAACTAGATATAGACTTACTCTTTGTAAAATTTTAGAGCATCGAGATATGGGCAAATTGTTGGCTCCAGTCTTTCCTATGAAATAAGTTTTAATTTACAGAAAACTAATTAAGGCTGTATTTAAGAATTTACCAAATTCTAGCTCATTTTATGCACATTTTCACAAGGGGCTATTTGCTCTAATCCTATTCTCCTGCTCTTTGCTTGTACCCTCAGCTCGGCTCAGTTGATAACATCCTGAGTCAGAAAGTTGCAGGCTCACCTCGGGCACTTTGTCTAGGCTGACATTGCGCCTCAGTGTTGCAGGAGGAATTGCCGTTCTATGGATGAGATGCTAATGAGAGGATCTGTTTACCTATTCAGATGGATGTTAAAGATTCATGTTAAAGTTCAAGAAGAGAAGGTTTCCTTCAGGGTCCTGACCAACAAATTTCCAGATAAATCAGTCATTCACTACTTTTTGGGAGATTCCTTTGCACCAATTGGCTGCTGTGTTTGCCTACAGAGTACACAGTCACTACACATTACAGTAATGGTAATCAAGCCAGTAACCATGGGCAGACTGCTTTTTGGCCACGGTGCCTGGTCTCAGGAACTCCATTCCCAGATCCCTCTAATTTGCTCCCTCTCTTCCCTTCTTTAATGTACATCTCCAAAGGGACCTCTTTGATCGAGCTTTGGTCATCTTTCACCCACCCTCACCCCAGCTCCAGAGCCTGGTCAATTGTCAAATGCTTTTGATTGCTCTCCCAACGTGAAAATTACTGTGAGGTTTATCAAGAATTTTGATGTGATAGGGTGCTAAATTGGAATATTATTACTAGTTATTTTAATTTATCCAATTCTCGTTTAAATGCTGATACGGAGTCGGCACCAATATTTGTGCTGTACAGACAGTGAGCATCTCAGAAATACCTTGCAACAATAATAAAATAATAATAATCCTTGCATTTGATATAGCGCCTGATCACGTCTTATAGACGTCTCAAAGCACTTCACAGAATATACTGTAAAGTGAATTGACTGTATATTTTGTGGGCAAAACGTGGCAGCCAATTTCACACAACTGTGTCCCACAAACGGTCAATCTATTATTATTTTTTGAAAGAATTATTACCCCCAGAAAAACAATCCGCCAATCGACTAACAACTGGGTTCCTACTTACTGCAAGGTAAACAGAGGTGTGTGGAGTAAGGAAACTTGACAGTGTTTCGCCCTGCAAATCCCATTATTGCCTCAAAATCAATTTTACCAACCGATGGGACTTTTACCCAACACATTACTGATAAGAAGAACCCTGCTTTTGCAAAATGTTGTTCAATATATCTAGGAATTCTGAATGTTTCAATGTATTTCTTTTAAGGTGGAGAAAAACACACTGGTGGCGGAAGGGAGTCTGGCAGTGATGCTTGGAAACACTACATGAGAAGGTCTACTTGGTAGGTAGATGGGGTCTTGGTTGACATTGCTGTGGGTGAATGGCATTTGAATAAGGCAAGATTCAAGACGGTATGCAGTTGTCTTTACCGTTGCGCTTTCAATCTCAACAGATGTGGGGTGTAAAGATGCATAGACTGAACAGCCTGCAAACAATTGGCTGAAATTATAGATCTCAAACAGATTTTCTTTCTTAATTGGGGATTTTTCAAAATTTTTATAATACCGCTGTCAAAAGGGTGTGTAAGGTTAGGACCAGTGAGAGGTCCTGTGAGACTCCGAGGGACAAAATGAATGCAAGTTCTTGTGGTCGGGAGGAAAATAGGCTCTTTCTCCTGCAATACTGGTGAGCTGATTGCAGATACAAAGCAAGTCCTGTAGGTGTCAGTGAAGCAGTGAGCAATGTTGCAGATTGTATCCACCAGATAAAATGGGTCTGATCTGCTTCAGCATCCATCAAGAACGCTTGGGAGTGGGAAATATATCAGGTGTCTTGCTTCAAATGTAAGGAATATTATCATTATTATTAATGTACAACATCATAGATGGCAGCTGTTTAATAAATACTATGGATGACTTAGTAAACTCAATATCCTGTCAGACTCTGGATTTCTGGGTCAACCAGTGTGATACATTGTCAGTTCATGCAACAACAACTTGCATTTATATAGCGCCCTTCATTTGGCATAACGTCTCTAGTGCAGTGATAGTGAAGCTGAAATGTTGATATTATAGCAGTAAAAGCATTAGGTTTATTATAGATATATATGTAACTCTTATTAATTATTATTAACCATAACACACTAAAATAATTTAAAAAAATTAAAATAAAAAATAAATATGGATGTGGAACTATCTTTACTTTATTTCCTTCTGGTTGCACCAGAATTTTTTTCTTTTTGAGCATATCTCTGGTTACCTCCCCTTTCTCCCTGGCTTTAACGTCAAACAACACCATTATTATGTGCTCTGAAACTCTACCCCACGTGAAAGGCATTATATAAATGGAAGTTGTTGCTCTATTTTCTCCTCTTCCCAATTTTCTCAATGTGTTTTAAAAAAATTATTTGAACAATATTTTTATCCCACACTGACTATTTTGGAGGTGGGATCAACCTTTCTTTACAGGTTGGGTTTGCAGCCAATTAAATGCTAACAGATAGAAGAGCGAACAACTGGCTGATATCGCAGCAGTGGTCAATGTCCATCTCTGCTGCAATTGTGGCATTTAAATTGGGAGATGGGGGTGGGGGGGCAACATGATGTTGAGTAGACAGAGAAGTGAGAATAGGGGAGATAATAGTGCCATGGAGTGGTTTGTTGTGATGCGGCCTCAATGGACCCAATTGGCTTCTCCTGTATTCCTGAGTGTTCACTAACTATTTTGTCTTCTCTCACTTTAGCACCATCAACTACAGCAAGGAGCTCCCTCTGGCTCAAGGAATCAAATTTGAATAATTAGTGTTGGTGACTTGCCACAAACTATTGGGACTTCTGTCTCCAAGAGCAACGAGAGAGAATTTGTTACAGAATGCTGGAGTGCAAGAGAAGCAGAACCCCGTTGTAATGAAACAGAATGTGCAATAAAGTGGAAAACTTTTAATTTCCACTGTCTTCTGTCCCATTTGGATTTTTATTTACACTAACTGTGAAATCTAGCTCAAGTCACGTCTTTGTTTTATTGCCACACAGAGAAACCCAAGCTACTTGTTGCTTTGTAAGTGTGTTTTCCCTTAATGGTTTGGGGGGAAAAAGGGAAAAAAACACCTTTGGAATGATTTGTCTCTTACAATGTGATACAATGTCCATGAGATACAAGCAAAAATTATTTTTTATTCAAAAGCTGTGATTTGTCCAAGCTGAATTCTTAGCAAAAGGAATTGCTGACTTAGCAATTCTAAAGCGAATGAGAAAAGGTGCTTTAGATTTCAGGTGCTGTCCCCAGTTTAGAAAGGGACTGGGTGTTGGGCTTCTTTGACAGACCTTAGAGATAGTGCAGTGCATTTTGGTTTTCTTGTCATATGATATCAGTTCATTTCCCTGGGGTTGGAAAAGCGCTTCATCAGTAAAACGTCAGTGGGAATGTTGCCTCGTGCTCAAGATACTCAAATGCTTCTTGATCAGTTGGAATCCAAGGGGAAGGCACAATCTTCACCACATCATTGTTAGAGAAGTCACTGTGCCCCTGACCTCATAATTCCCTCCATAAACCCTTCTGCGTTGCTCCCTTTCAGTCTTTATAAACCTACTTTTACGGTGCTTATGGTCACTTCCCCTTCACTCTTACCCCACACTCCTCTTACCTCACACTCCGGCTCCAACTCTATAAAGTGCATTAAGAAAGGTTTTTCATAACTGCCAAGTTGTACCATTATTCATAAATCAGAGGAAAATTCTAAATATATTTTATTTTGGAGTCCTGTAACTCAGTGGTTAGAGCACTCGCTTTGCAAGCGAGAGACCTGAGTTCAATTCCAGGCAGGGCGAAACCTTGGGCAAGTTTCCTTACTCCACATGTCTAATAATAATCCCTCCAAAACCAAAACCAATAATAAATTGGTCATTTTCAATCTACGACTGTTTGTGAGACAATTGGCTGCCGTGTTCGCCCACAAATATACAGTCAATTCACTTTACAGTATATTCTGTGAAGCGCTTTGGGACGTCCTCCTGATGTGAAAAGCGCTATATCAAATGCAAGGATTATAATTATTATTATAATGAGGTTCCCTTGGAAGAAACAGAGTGTGGTTTACAATGCCACAGTTTTGACCTCTCATGTTCCAGTGTAGAACTTGGTTAGGATAGATACAAATTCAGCAAAACCATTATTCTGCTTGAACTTTCCCTACCCAATTCTGCTCTTGCCTGAGAGAAAAAAGCTGACAATTTGCATGCGTGCCAGTGGGTATTGAGAAGAGGGCAATAGGACATAGCACAGGATAAGTGACAAGTTGCGTGGTTTATTCAGACAGTCTCAAGAGGCTGGCACTCACATTCTGGGTGAAAGCACACTGTAGGTATCACTTGATAAATAAACTGCACAACATGTAACTTGCTGCTGAAAAACAAAAAAAAATACACTGCAACAACAATTAGATGACGATTAGCTTCAGCTCTTATGTCCCTATATAATTCTTTGCCTGTGTCACGCAAGTCAAAAAGTGGGTTAATAGTTATCACTGAGGCTTGAGGTTGTAATTAGATCCCTGGGTTCAACTGCTGTTTATAATGTAATCAAAACTACTCACTTTCAATTCACTGTGTCTTGATTACTTCCTGGAATTACTGACTTGTCATTCCATCACCTGTTACCCTATCTGCTATCCAGTGTGTGTCTTTTCCATATGTCCTATTTTCCTGCAAAATATTCCCCTTTTTCTTGAGTTTCTTGGGCCTTCAGAACCATGAATATAACATACTATACTTCAGATTGGTGTCTGTTATAATATTTATTATCTGATAATATTGTCACTTGTCTTTTGAATCCACCCTGTGCCTGTTACCTTGTTTTCTTCCATGCCTTATCTTGTAGCATACTTGTGCTGATATGAAAGAATCTAATCTCCAGCCACATTCCTATTTTTCCTGTGATGGATTATTTCCCTTCATGTCCCCTTCTGCAGATCTCATCTGCTCCCAGTCAAGGGAGTAAGCAGGGACCAGCTCCCAGACTTCTCTAATTCCTCTACATAGTCTCTGGCAAATTTATGTGTCGCTATGCAACACGATTCTAATTTTCTTTCTGTGAATAAGTGTATGTTTGTGTGTGTGTATGTGTGTGCAGAGGGAGGGGGAGAGCTCTCTTTCTGCCTCCTTTTCTCTCTCTTTGGTGAAGGCAACCTCTGCTCAGGGTGTCCAAAACAGCATTACTGAAATTATTCATTTGCCTACAAAATCCACAGTCAGTACACCTTTGTGGAGTCCTGTAGCTCAGTGGTTAGAGCACTCACCTTGCAAGCGAGTCACCAGGGTTGAATTCCAGGCAGGGTGAAACCTTGGGCAAGTTTCCTTACTCCACACGCCTAATAATAATCTCTCCAAAACAAAACAATAATAAATTGGTCATTTTCAATCCACGACTGTTTGTGGGACACTTCTGTGTGCAATTAGCTGCTGCGTTTTGCCCACAAATATACAGTCAATTCACTTTACAGCATATTCTGGAAAGCTCTTTGAGACGTCGAGAAGACGTGAAAAGCGCTATATCAAATGCAAGGTTATTATTATTACAATAAATCTTGTGAAACACTTTCAGATAGCTTGATGATAAAGTTCTACATTAAATGCAAGGCTTATTATAATTCACCAAAGAGGGAACTGCAGGAATTAACCTGTATTCCTAGTGCCAAAATCTTGCACCTATACATATGTGTGTGTGTGTATGTCAATGTGTGTGCATGTATGTGTCTGTGTGTAGGTGTGCATGTGTGTATGGTATGTGTGTGTACATGCCTATATTTTTGAATACCATTTTGCATCTGAATTCTCTGGCAGTTTGAGGGATGCATCCAGGTTTCATCGGGCAATAATGGTGCAGTCAGTATGTATTTCTGTTTCCCAGTATTCTGGAGACACTCTCAGCCAGCAACAGTTGGAATCTTGCTTTCAAATATGAATTCATTTGAGACCATCTGAAACCTGAATCCATCACAATGCTCATTCCTGGGGCCAGTGAAAAGTATTACATTCATTGATACTGAAGCCGGAGTTTGGTCCAGGAAAGCTCATCAAATCCCTTCATCTCTTTTGACAGCGATTGAGGGCTCTCCCCACTGCCTTTGCTGTGTTGCAGAAAACTGTACTTGATGCAATGATATGAGCTGGAATAACTCCCTTTCAGGATCTGTCTGCTTTAGGAATCCCTGCAAGAGATGTAACTCCTAGCATTCCAGTTGAATGGCTCTCTGTTCGATTACCTTGCCAACTTGGCAGTCCACTAGCACCAGGGAGTTCTGCCACACAAGCTCCGAGAGAGAGCGTGTGGGAAGCAGCAGTGAATAGAGGCAAGGGACTTGGAAACATCAGCTTTCTCACTGATGATGGAGGGGAGGGTGTAGAATGTTTTAATGCTGCAAGCTCTGCTCTGATACTGATCCAAAGGGAACGGTCTTAACATTTCTGTAGCACATCAAAAGAAATCAAACAAGCAACCGTTTTCCAAGGGACCTTTTAAGTAAACACTCTAAGTGAGAACCTCGACCAATTTATTTTGAATAATTTTCAAAACTTCTTTTAAAAAGCAAATTAACATGAATGTCAATGTGGAACTCAATCCGAGGATCAGGTTTGATTCCCCCCACACCCTCCCTCCCCTTCCCCCACTTCCATGGAAGTGACAGCCAATTGAAAGGGTTAGCAAAAAAAGCACACAATCCATAATAAAAACTAATTACAGACACTGAACTCATTTCTCTCCACAATTAAGTTAAAAGAAACCGAAAACGCTGCACGCATTTAACATCACTTTAATGCGGCTGTCTGTTCAGGCCTGCGATCTTGCTGTTTTTGTTTGCATCTGACAGCCTTTGCTGGATTGGTTTAGACTTCCTGCTCTGGTGTATAATTAAATCTTTGAAAGTGAAGCGAAATCTCTAGCTGCAGTAAATATGCATCAGATTTATACGGTTATGCAAGGGATTACTGCTAGATTGTTTCCATGTGAGAGAGGGGAGACTAATTGAGGCTTTTTAGAGGCTGCTTGCTTTTCAAGCTTTGCCTTTTATGTAGATTCAGTACCCAATTCTCTTTAAAGGACTATGTTTAATGCGATTGGTGTTCGCTTGTTTGGAAGTAGTGACCCAAACTGAAATACATATTCTGGCAGCTGCAGCATTATAATAACACTCCAATTATGCATGGTAATTTACATATGTAAATTGGTTATAATAAGTTCTCATCCATCTTCTGCCTTGCTTTTATAATTTGAATTTCTTTGAACTGCTGGTTACTTCAATGCACAAGAAGCTCTGAGGGAAATTGCTTTCAGTAATTTCACCTGGTGCTCCCGCTTTCCAATTTATACAGATTACACATCCTTTAATCAAGTTTTCATGGCATATCTCTCTGAATGTTAATCCATTTGGTTTCACAGTGAATTTTGCCAAAAAAACAGAGAACCCTTTGCAATAGGGTGATGTGTATTTGTGACAGCTGCTGTTTCTTTATTAGTGAATGGAATGACATTAGATGTGCTTTTAGCAAAAAATAAGAAAACAGTAATTGGATGTCTGAGACATTCCCCTGGTATATCATTGTTACAGGGGAGCAATGCAAGGCAACAGCTCTTGTATAGTACCAGAGGCTGCTGGGCTGCAACTTGTGTGGACAGCCTTGTTTTTGCATAGCCCAGTTAGCGCTGGTTATGAAGATTAAAGTGTTTTGCTCTATGTGTGAAGTACTTCTGTTTTGTTTCTCGTGGTCAGATAAGAGCTTGTGAGCAGTAGTTCTACACAGTGCCAATATTGCACTAGCAATACAATTTAATAATCCCTGCATTTGATATAGTGCCGTATCACACCGTTAAGACATGTCAAAGCACCTCACAGAACATATTGAAAAGTGGAGTGACTGTATATTTTGTGGACAAAATGCAGCAGCCAATTGC